CGCACATTTACCTGTGTCCCAGGTTCAGCAGTAGCAGTCATTTTCTATCTTTTCTATCCCAAAACCATCATCACAAATCTTACAATCTTTCCAGGAGGGTAAGAACATGGACAGAATCTCCCAAGTGTTTCTTGCTGCATATTTTTAATAGAATTATGAAGAAATAAATAGGTTTTATTTATGCACACGCTTTGTAACTCCAGCTTTAATGACCTTAGATGCATTATTGTCATAGATGTGATTTTTAGCTAGTTAGCTCCAATGACAAACTATCTGCAGAAAAGACTGATTTTCAGGAAAATGCTTACAACTAATATATGCCAAGTGAAGCGGAAGGTAGAATGACCATAACAGACAATGGCAAGTGTTCAAACCACAGTAATTACAATACTCTTTATCACTCCGTTAAATTTGGCCATGTGCTCTCATTTATTCCATCTGCATACAATAAGGAATGCATATTGTTTCTGATGAGGGGAGGAAGAGGACATAAAGAGGCAGGATGTTCAGAGAATATGCAAAACCATCTAGGACATCTAGTTCTGTCATGTTGCTGGGCAGAAAGACATTGCCTGCCTATCTCAGGTTGTCCTCGGAAAAGTCAGGCAGCAAAGCAAGCTTATCTAGGCGCTCCTGAAGCAGAACCTCTCAGGTAGTTCCTTGGCTTTAAAGCATTGACTTGTCCACGTTACATCTTCACACACACACATATACATGCACATGCAGAGATATATTTATACACATATATTCATACATACACAAATGATTATATATACACATGAATGTGTGTGTATATATGACTGACTGCCTTTGTGTCTGTGCATATATAATTTATTACGTTCCGCTGTATTTTTGACATTTGACCCCCTCTGGTCATGGGCAGGGGTCTCAAGATGAAGTAAATGAGTCTTCCTCCTGTGGGTAGCGGTCTTCAAGATGAAGTAAATGAGTCTTCCTCTTCTTGAACTTTTCACCTTCCAGTCTTCGCACATATGGCGTTAGGGGTTGGTCCCAGCCATAAACCATCTGCTTCTCCCCCTTAACAGATTCAGGGGTCTGCTTTTCCCTATTAATAGGTGCTTATCAGTAGAATCAGGTGTCTGCTTTTCCTTGTCAATAGAACCAAGTGTCTGCTTTTCCTTATCAATAGTGCCTTTGTTCTGCTTAGTAGGCATGATAGGTACAGACAGTACCTTTGCTTAAGCAATCGAATTCCTCTAACCCCCCTGTACATTGGTCAACCCTTTGCATCATTATGACATCTATGGTTTGTGGTCTGAGAAGGCTGAGCCATGAAATGTGGTGAGCCAGACTGCTTTGAATGACTACACTGAAAAATAGGGGGTTGATTTAATAGAAATTTCCCCAAAAAGTGATCTTGAAATCAGAAAAGAAAAAAATCTCCTTTTTCTTGTTTTTCATGCCTCAAAGGTGTAATGTGTGGGGTTTGTTCATCAAAGGGTTTAGAGGGAAATATTGCTTGCTACACTCTAAGAAACTCTATGTAACTGGAAACATATTCCTTTTTCGTAACTATTGTACTTTGTGAGTTATAAAGGGAAGTCAGTTGTATTATTACACAAGATTATGAGAGGGAAAAGAAAGGGGCGGGGAAAAAAGACGGTGAGGCACGGCCCCTTTAAGAGCGGCCGCGGACTTCCCCCGACGTTGCCGCTTTAAGGTGGGGGGGGGGGGGGGTGTTTAGGTCGTTTGAAGTTGTATCTTGTTATATGTACCATATAAGGGAGGGAGGCTGTGATAAGGCTGGTAATGGGCGTTCCTTGAAATCTCTGGAAAATTCTTGAAACTTCTTGACGATGAGACCCCAGCACCAAAGGGAAGCAATGGAAAAGAGCCATGTCAACATCCGAGCGAAAAGAAGCAGAGGGATTGGCTGAAGCCTTGAACCGAAAAATACAAAGGATAGCCTCCCAAAGACCCCGCGTGCGCGTCTTGGGCGGAGCGGGGGCTCCCTGGCGCATCTAGCGCTGTTTTTATCTGCTATTGCTTGCTCAATTTAATAAATTTATAAATTTATGTTTTAAAAAGGAGATTGGCTCTCTCATTGATAACAAAGGGAAAGCATGCTCTGTTGCACACCCTCTTTCTTTTTTCTTTTTCAAGCACTCACCAAAGGGCAGAAAAAGCAGTGAAAGCTAAGAAGCAGACATAGGGTTTGGTCTTGGCTATTTTATTTCTCCACTTTCTTCTTTTATACTCTTTAATGAAAAATAGGAGGTGGTATTTTAGGAGTAACAGAAAGCTAGCTTGCCAGTTTGTTTTCTTACCATCAGAATGATATCATGTTTTCCTAAAAAAAATAACAAAAAATTTCCAACAGAAGAAAAAGTTTATCAGGTTTTTTCCATTATATGAGTGTTTACTGAGCTGCATTGCTGTGAATTGCTCTCTGTCCTGACTACCAAGGAAGACATCACAGGAAGCCCTTGGATGAGCAACTAAATCTTGGGGCCACTAAATCTTGGGGCCACTAAATCTTGTTATCTCACCACAGACAACAAAAACATTGGTCTTTAAAACTACTTTAGAAGACTAGTGTGAACTCATGTTTAGTGGGGCCACTACATTCCACACTTACAACATAAACACTGTTCTCTTTCTACAGCGTTAAGCTAAAAAGTACTTGAACTCTACGTTTTCCAGGCACTAGCTTTCCTTATATCAAGCTGCCCCCCTTTCTTTCTTTTACCTTTACAAATTCTTTTGCTATGTGACTCCGTTTTGATCAAGAGATCTGAACTTTAACTTGTTGTCTAAGCTTGTGTCTTTAGCGAGTTTTGTTTCTGTTATTGTAAACTCGTACAGTTATATCCACATAACCACCCCTATGACTTGCGAAAACCAATATATTTATGTGTTTATCACACCAGGTATTCCGCGGCCTTCCTCAGCACCCAGCGGCTGCCCCAGCCGCCAGCGAGCCTCCCCAAACTCCACAGAGACTCCCTGAGTCCCTTCCTGTCTTCAACCCGTACCACCTCGCTACCATGGCGGCTGTTCCCGCCCCTTCCGGGAGCGACTCGGAAGTGGGGGGGCAGGTGCGGCTTGGGGCGCCGCGGGGGGGTGGATGAGCTGGTGGCGGGGGTTGTTGTGCGGGATACAGGGCTCCGTGGAGCACCGGCAGGTAACGGCGTTGGGCATCACGGGTCGGGGAGGGGCGGCCGGGTGGCGGTGGCTGTCTGCGCCCTGGTGGGCTGGGCTGCACTGCACTGCGCTGCGCTGCGCTGGGTTGGGCCGGGCAGGGCTAGCCGCGGGAGCTGCGGGCTTGGTTTGTGCTCGGCCCAGCTGTAGCGCGGACTTGCGTCTTGACGCGGGCCGGCCCTTCCCGTCTGACGGCTGCTGTCCGTGGCTCCGTCCGGCGGCCCTCCGCCTCGTAGAGGCAGCGGAGGTGAGGTTGGCCTGGCTGTCGGCCTGGCGGTGCTCGGCGGGGCGGCCACAGCAGAGCCTGAACAGATCGGGCTACCCGCCCCTCACCCATGCAGCTGCATCTCCGCCTCGCCTGCAGCCGTGCTAGAGACTCTCGGGCTCCCGCTCTCAAGACTTGGCTTCAGCCTGGGCCCTGTGGGGACCGGAGGGGCGGCTCGGGAAGCAGCTGGCCTGGAGGATGGCGGGGATGGTCGCCCTCCGGGCCATTGTGTGCAGACTCTTTTTCCCTGCCACGTTGCTATCTGCTAAGAGCCAGCAGGTTTGAGGCTTGCGGGGAGTTCTAAATTACTCCCTGTGGTGGTTTTTTACTTCCCCCCCCCCCCCCAACCTATTGAAATTTGTTCCACGCTGAAACAGCTGAGGTTCAGCGATGTCTCAGGTTGCAGACATATGTCGTCTAAATTCTAGGAAGGCGTTTGCCAAAATCAAGGCTGATGTGGAATGTGGCTGCAACAGAAGTATTTCTAAAAATTAAAATTATGCATAGTGGGATTTCTGGAGTGAACAGTTCCAAGTATAGTGGGGCAGTGAAATGTAAGATTGACTTGAATTTTCACATTTCTTGATTGGAAGTGATGTGAAGAACAGGATTTAAAGGTTGGGCTTTGAGCTGTTTTTTCATCAGACAACTGTCTAACTGAACTTAAAAATGAAATGGCATAGGGACATAGTATCTGAGGGCAAGAACGTCTAAAGAAGGTGCTAGTGCTGTGCAATTTTATTCAGCTCATAATTGACAGCCTACTGTGAGTTAGTATGAAACTAGCATCTCAGAATACTGCTAGAAGGCACCGCTAGTATAGGTGGTGGTGTATATGGAATAATACCTCTATACAAGCAAGCAAAGTACGAAACCTAACAGCATGCTAAATATTGTGGCTGCTGGTTGTTAAATGTTCTATCATTGTATGCATCTGTGGATGTGATATTTGAGGTATGTTGACTGCTGCAAAAAGAGAAGAGTATTTGGCTATATAATTTCAGTTACATACTTATTTTACTGTTTAATGTCACTAATGTAAAATGATGGTGCAAGGTAGTAGCAGTCATTAGAATAAGAGGCCCTGCACTGAATGGAACTTCTTTATTTCTCCTTTTGGAGGAAAGGATACTGTGCAAGTGAGATTTAAGTACAATTAACCACTGCAAATGTTGTATTTAAATACAATGCTTATTTAGTTTCTTAGTGATTATCTCCTTGATTTTTACTTTTTCTTTTCAGTACCCCAAGTGTGACCATAAGGTATGATTCTTTGTCTGCTGTACCAAACTTCTTAAGTACGTTTTTGCCATTTGATCACCTGGCTTCAGCTACAATGGTAAGTTGTGATTCAGAAAATGTATTTTCAGATCTAGTCTGCTAGCTATCTGGCTGATGAGGAGAAAGCTGTAAATGTTCAGCATTTTCTAAACAAAAAAAATTTTTTGCTTGTCAGTTCTGAGTTAGTGGTATATTTTCAGTTAGGACTGATGTTAAACATTTGGGTATGTATAAATCCTACCTCCACATAGAAATTATTCTATTCACGGGTTATAATATTACCATACATATTCACCTAATGTCAAGGATTCAGTGAATTGAATGTCTGAAATCAACTAGACATATAGAAAGCATGAGTGACATTTTCATATATATGCCAAGACACTTTGAAATTTAAACATTCTGTAGTGGAAGGTTCTAATGACCAATAGCATGTTGTTAAGTGCTTTAATTATTAATGTATTTTTTTTTAAGAATAGGTAAGAAATTTTGTGTTGGAGACACTACAGGGGAATGGTAGAAGGCCTGAGTTTATTTACTGTGTATTTTTTTGTTGTTACTGTAGTATTTTTCCTCCCCTGAATTCTGTTCTAATGTATGAAGTAACTGCTACTACCATGTATTGGAGATGGCTCAAATGCCTTCTGTTCCTTGAGGTTCAAGTAAAGGTGTCTGCTTTCATGCACAACTGATAGGCATGGGTCACAGTGAGCAAACACAAATATATCTGTATATATAGATAGATAGATAGATAGATACATATATATGTGTGTGTGGAAGAAGTACCTATTAGAAACATTTCTAAGCTTTACTGAAGAGTGGAGGATTTTCCAAAACACTTCTGCTTTTTTTTTTTTTTTTAGTAGTGTAGCTTATTTAAAAGGTTCTGGCTGTGGGGATTAATGTGTAAGGTTTTTTTCAGTAACAGGGATTTTTACTATTATTAGTGCTTGTCACAAATACGTTCTTAAGGACTTTATCCACCTGCCACTGAAGTGAATGCATTGCTTCTCTTGACTTACCTGGAGTTTAATCAAGACTTTTCATTGTTCTAAGGCTTCATAATTTAGCCAAAAGCCTGCAAATGTAGGCACTTGGTAGTGGGATTAATTACTGTTGATGCAGTTACATGATATCAGCTGCTAAGTTTAGTATATGGCAAACAATGGTTGATCCCATCTTCTTAACTATAAATATATATCAGTAGTAATAGAGGTTTTGTGCTGTTTTTTATGTATAAGGGTGTTCAAACAGTTAATACGATTTCTCAGAAAATCCTTTGTAATTATTGCAGCAACAAGCTTTAGAACTGGCATTGGATCGTGCAGAGGTAAGGAATAACTCAGTTATTTATTTGCACATAATATATTAGTCTCACAGTTAAAAATAACTATTGCATTTTTATATTTATTCAGAAAAGCAGTGGAGGAGAATGTTAAGTAAATATATTGTTTATAAATAATCACCGATACATATAACACTGGTTTTGCAAAATTCTCACTGAAATTCCTGTGTCATATATTTGTTTCCTACCTGTTGTACAGAGAACATCTGGTACAATGACGATAGGCTACGCAGGACTTCAGTTTTATCCTTTCACGCAAGCAAATCTGTGGTCTGTGAAATATGAAGAGCTGTACAGAGACAGCTGGCAGAAACATATAGCAAAATCCTGTTTGTGTTTTTAAGTGTAGGGTATTTAGAATAAAGAGGCAACTGCCTTCACATCTGTGTTCTTTCATGCTGCCATCTGATACAATGTTTATCTTGAATGCTGTTGTGTGAAATACATTATTTCTATGGGAGAATCTCTCTTCACTGAAATTCTGAACTATGCTGTTAGCCAGAATATTTCAGACAAACAACAGATTTGGAAAAACTTTGTTAGAATGTAATCTATGTTTAATGTAGGATATCTGTCTTTTTTAATTTGAGTATTTAATGTATATGGGTTGTATTTATAATACGTGACTCTATAGAGAAAACTATCATAAGTGCAAGACAGAAGGGGAAAATTAAACTTCTCAAAATTGGTTTTGTTGAGGAGTACTTGATTTGGAAATGTTGTTGAGCTAGTACACATAAATTTGATTGTATCTTAGCATGTTAACTTCAGTATGCTACCACGTTAACTATAGTAGTGTTGTTTACTACTGTAATTACAAACCATGAACGTAAAATGAAGACTTTTTGTGCAGCCTATGTTGTAGCCATGAACCATTGTGTTTCACAGCTAAACTGAGCTGTGTCCTTCTTGGTAACTATAACATACATCAGATCATGTTTAGTACTCATTTGAAACAGTTGTGTACCATATCAGGTAATTACCTTCTGTATACATAGAATGCTGTCTGATCTAAATTTGCATCGTACCTACTAATAATTTCTTTATAATACGTGGTGGTTTTTTTTTTTTTTTTCTTCTAGTATATCATTGAAAGTGCCCGTCAGAGACCTCCCAAAAGAAAATATTTATCTAGTGGAAGGTAGTAAGAGTTTCACTATTTAGTTTTTAAATAACATTTCTTTGGCTTAATTTTGGTTACTTTTTAAGGTTATTTTTTATTTCAGAATTAATTTATTTACTGTATTTTTTATTTCAGAAAATCTGTATTTCAAAAGCTCTATGATTTATATACAGAAGAATGTGAAAAAGAGCCTGAGATAAAGGTAAGTGGAAATTGCTAAGCGGCTTTTTATTGCTGTCTAAACAGACAAGTTTAGAAAATACTTTATTTCCCTTAATTCCTTTGTTAAAGAAAGAATAAACTCTGGTTACTGTAGTAGTTACCTAAAGCTAAGACTACAAGAGAAACAATTATTACGACTTTTGTGGACTAAGCTGTGTAATTTAATATCATCTTTGTTAAGTTTTAAATGAAAGCAAAGTGGTGGATGGTCCGATGACTACCTGGTAACCCTAAATCTGCTTTTAAAGTTAATAAAGGTGAATGCTGGCAGAGGATTGTAGAAATCATGCTCTTGAAATGTTTATATGAAAAGAGAGAATTTCAAAAGAATGGTCTAGAATGGAGGGAGATCCAATCCAAAATGGGTGATATAATATGAATAGTAAGGCCTGCACTGGCTTGGGTGACCTGTTCTGGTTTAATGCTGTGTCGCTAAAGTCAGTTGCGGTCAAGTTGAGGGCCAGAGTCAATGCCTTGTGTGGTGTTGTCAGCATCAGTGTTTCAGAATCAATTGCTTAGCATGACTATTCTTGATGTTCATAGGGGAAAATCAGATTTTCCACAGTAACTCACAAAGTACTAATTAATTATTCATCGTCTGTTAGTCCAGTCTTCCCAGCTTCATTACTTCCCAAGTGTCTCTTCTGCTTGTGCACATGCATGCTACAAGAGGGGGGCTGATTATCTAGAGTAATTTGTTTCCTTTAGACTCTAGTGTACAGCATTCCTGTACCTAAAAATTGAAAGACATAAAAATCAAACCAGTGATTTTTGGAAGCAGTGTTAAACATGAATGTGGAAATAGAGTCGGTCTTTGTGCTGGAAGTATACATGTCAGGAAGGTAAATCTGAAGAGCTCAGCTACAAAAAAAAAAATATAATATATATATCACTGCGAAGTCACCTGTTCTCAGTTGAAATACATACTGAGTTGAAAAACATCTGAGTAATGAAAGTTTCAGAATGCTGAGTTCCATGTTGGACTTGTGCAAAAATGAGGCATTTTTACAGCAAAGTAGCAGATGAGGTACACAGGTAGCTGAGCCAGATAACACTGGGGCCTTTCTTGTTAGTTTTGGTAGTGTTTCTTTTTGTCTTTGATTAATCTCTAATGGTGATGAATGAAATGCAGAGTTGGATTATTTGGGATATTCTATAAAGCATTATATTGCATGCACCTTTCTGTTCTTGAAGAAGATACAGCAAATTTGCATGTGTAAGGCGAGGAAACAATTGACTGTAAGAATGCACTTTAAAGCAAAGCTAACCTCATTAGGGTGAAACAAATTGACTTTGTTCAGATCACAGTATTCCCAAAGTTTGATCTGCAAAAACTTACCTTAGGGGTTACTTACGAAACTGAAAAGTTTTCTTGCCTCCGCTACAGAGACTTTTCGTGGCCCCTGTCTTTGAGCTGCATTAATACTAGCCTCTATTGGCATGGCAACCAATAGCTTAGTATAATTAGTTATGAGTTTCAGTCCTCTCTCAGGGCCCAATTTTGGTCCAGCTAGGTCACAAACATCTTTAGGCTTCAGGTTATTCCTTCTATTTTGTAATGAAAAATTATGCTTCGAGTTGGGTTTTATTTTTCAGTCAATATATGCAAGATTCTACTTCGCTTTTTCTGCTTCCTGAAAGAACAGTGCTTTGTTCTTGCAATGTTTTGCATTGTTCATTAATTTAATTTCTAAATAGTTCTGTTGAAGTTGTGACAAAATTTTACCTTCTAAGGTGCATCTTCTATGCATAAAATGGTGCTGCAAGGAAGTCAAAGGAAGAACTCAGGGTACTTGTTTTAGGTTTCTACTCCCCAGAGATACAGTAAATCGCTACAAGAGATTATTTTTTTTTATTATTATTTTTTATGAAGGTGATCTGTTTATTTAAAGGGTTTTGACCAACTCTTCAGTCATAAAGTGAGAAAATCAATTGAAGGTGCTACAGTGAGGGACAACAAAAGCAGTCATGATAAAATCATAATTTTAACAGCAGTGTACCATTGAAGGAGTAGGTAAAATTTGCATTTTTCTCATAGCCAAAGATGGAGGAGTAACAGATAGCTTCCCTTTTTTATTTTTAAGTCAAACTTTACTATAAATAATTAGTTTGTTCTTCTCCTTTGTAACCTGATGATCCTTTTTTAAGTCAATTCTTCCCGAATTCTTGTATTCTTTTCTTCCTAATGCCATTGCATAACTAAATATGAAAGTATTAATCTGTCCAACATTGGGGAAAAATACAAAAGCTTTTCATCATTAAAAGATGACAATATCTAAATTATTAAGAGAAAAGATGTCAGAGTAGTTGAGTATTGCCTTTCTTCTCAGATAGCTTTTACTGTACCTCAGGCTGCTTCATACTGTGTCTCAGTAAAAGCCCAATAGTTGCATCACCTACTCAGCGATGTGTATGAAAATTGAAGCAGGGCATGTGCAGTCTCCTGGTTTGGGGTAGACTGGGGGGTGGTTAGTAGGAATTTTAACTGAAGAAGGTTTTGCATAACAGGCTGCATCTGCAGAGTCTTGTATGAAGAATTTGCTTTCCTGAGCAGTCTTGGTTGCTGCCATGATGTGTTTTCCCCCATCACTCCTCCTCCTACAGTTCTTTCCCCATTAGTTCTCAAAGATTTATGTGCTACTTCGTCCTTTTCTTTGTGTTAATGTCTGTCACTTCTAAACTGTAAAAGCCAATAAGATGTAGTCACCGTCATTTATGGTGTATGGGGAAGAGTTAACTTGCGGCAGTGGTTCCAAAACTGCATAGCAGGAGATGGAAAAGATTTTCTTCCTTTTTGTCCTCTGCATATCTGTTAAAATGATGTGTTAGATTATATTGCTGTGGGATTGGGGGTTTTGTTTTCAGTATGTTTTTCTTAGTTGGTTCCCTTATAAGTAATGATTCTGCCTGCTATCTTCTCGGTATCCCTGGAAAGACAGATCTGATCAAAAAGAAACAGCCCAGTACTACTTGGTTGAGTGTGTGTGAAGTGAGTAGCTGGGCAGCCTTAGTAGCACACTGGGGTTAACTTGCAGTGAATGGCTTCACCCAGACCTTGTATTCGGCTATGAAATCTAGCCTCCAATCAGAAAGTGTAAAACTCTGAGATTTAGAATTCATTGGTTTAAATTATAAATGTTTAAATTAGTAGGATGTATATGGGGTCTTTGAAACATAATAATTAATTACGAAAAACCACTGTTTACCTGGAAAAGATGGTTCATACAGTTAAATAAAGAAATAGTCTGCAGCTGCTGGGTCAGATTTCAGCGAATACAGACAAGCCAAGTCAATTAAGAAAGCTTCCAAATACTGTAGTTCAATATTTTAATGCTAGAAAGAAATACCTCCTTCTGTTAGGAGTATTTGAAAGTGCTAAGTATTTTGTTGCTTTTATAAAACAATGTGTAAATGTATACATGATGCTCATAGAAATGATAGTGCACTGTAGATTGACAACATTGTAACATAGGGTTACTTTTGTTAACTGTGTCTCTGGACTTACAATTCAAGGGGGGTAATTTAAATGAATAGGTTTTTAAAAAAGTCTCTGTATAAGTATGTATAATAATACACAATGTATATACTCTGCTGAATACAGTCCAATTAAATTTAACTGGGGTTGTTTAGGTATATACTTCATCATTAATCTAAATAGTACTCATATTCTAGCAATTGTTTTTATTTCTACTGATCACTTGATAGTATTATGTTCATGAGCAATGTTTACTTCTAAAGCAGAAGCTGAGGCGAAGTGTGAATTTACTTGAGAAGCTGGTTATGCAGGAGACGTTGTCATGCCTGGTAGTGAACCTCTATCCGGGAAATGAGGGTTATTCACTTATGCTCAGGGGAAAAAATGGTTCAGGTAATATTTTTGCTGTTCAGTTTTTAAAAATACTCAGTATGCTCTATAAATACTTAGAATGTGTTATTGCTTACATGTAACTGTTTTACATGTAGCGTAATCCCCAAAACAACAAAAAAATATCAGTAGTTGAACTAAAAATTTACATAAAGCTGTGAAGTGCCCAGGAACGGCCTCTGATGGTGCAACATAAATCAGTACATATGGGTCATTTTGGTATCCTTCCATTCTCTTATTTCCTCTTAGCGTCCTCAGTTGCTTATCCAAGCTACTCTTGCTTCATGTTCTTCTGTCATATTGTTTATTCCAGAAATAGATGTAAAAATTAATACTCTGCAAAAAAATTGCCTGTTTCAGTAGGCTTCCACTGGCCCTGCTTTTTCCTGTGGCAGGCTTCTTTTATATTTCACACTGTTGTCTGAACTTGAAAGGCAAAAGAAAAGCAGTATGTTTTGTTTCAATTCAGATTCTGAGACCATCCGGCTGCCTTATGAGGAAGGAGAGCTGCTTGAATATTTGGATGCAGAGGAGCTACCACCTATTTTGGTTGATCTTTTAGAAAAATCTCAGGTTTGAAAGTTTTGCTTTCAAAAAATTTATTTTTGATTTTTTTTCTTCCTTTTTTTTTTGTTTCTTTTTTTTGAATGCTTCACATATGCGGTTCCAACCACACATAAACCAATTGTTCATTTGGAACTGTAATATTTAATGCACAAATAAATATTTTATTGATATATATAGCAAAAAAAAAAAAAAGACACTGGGGAGGAAGGTATATAAGAGAGATTGCTTTGGTTAGGGCTGCCAAGCAACTTCAACTCTATGCTCTAGCAAAATGTCTTTTGTTCTTTGTCGTTATGATATACTTGGCATGGGGATTTCTTAAAACTACATCACTTGCATATGAAAAAACTACATTTGAAGTTTGTATTTTGGGTATGTCGAGGTATGTAAAGACCACTGGTGTGACAAGATTAGTCATTAGTTTTATTCATAGTATTACTGAATTTTATATGATAAAATCAAACTTCTTTTTTTGGAGGCAAGGGCTGAGGCAGATTGATAAATATTTTTGTTTACAAGTTGTTTTTTTGTTTCAACTAGGTTAATATTTTTCACTGTGGATGTGTCATAGCAGAAATACGTGACTATAGGCAGTCTGGTAACATGAAATCTCCAACATACCAAAGCAAGCACATTCTTTTGCGTCCTACAATGCAGGTAAGAAACGTTTTTAAGTCGTTCCTAAGTGTTACAGTAGTGCCTAGACTGGGTATGAACTGCTATTGAACATATGTTAGGAAACTTATTATTTAGTTGAAAGCTAATTTCCATTATGTCTTCTTCCTCAGACTTTAGTTTGTGACGTGCATTCTATAACAAGTGACAACCACAAATGGACACAGGTGGGTTAGCAGTTATTGCAAAACTGGTTATATATATTTTTTTAACTCATTCAGACTGTCAGTGATGTGCATAATGGTGCATGGTACATGATCCAGAGACATGCCAAATTAACTTGCTAGTAGCATCTTCCCAGAAGATGCCATAGAAAACAAAAAGGATTTGCTGAAAGCTCTGTAGAATCGGAGCTTACTGTCATTCTGCATTACCAAAAATTATTGGAATTACTCTAACAAGTTTGCCTTACTTACGTCATCTTCAGCAATCAGCCCCAGAAGAGCAGTTGGTGTCTAATGACACAGTTGCTCCTTTAGCATTTTACTATTGATACTGTTACAATAAAGAGAATTCTAACTACAGTTGTACAGTTCTAGTTAAATGCTGGATAGCATGGTGTACTCAATGTGCTCATTTGTATTTCAGAGCCACAGCCATGCTCAATTCTATTTCAAATTGTAATCTGAAGTCCCAGGTAGATCCTCTTTATGACTGATTGTCAGTCCATCAATATAAATCACTGCCAGATAATGGATTTCATTGCCACTAGTGCTGTGTTTAAAACAAACAAACAGAGCATGCCCCCTACTTTTGAAAATAATTTATTTTCCTATTGGAAACCTCACCCAAAGCTCTGTAACTCCTAATAATGGTTAGTGATTCTTAACTGTTGACTGTTTATTTTATTTTGTTGACTGTTTATTTTCTTTTGTTGACTATCAACCCATCATTTTTTTTAACATCTCTAAAATTATGTGCGCATAGGTAGATATCATCTTAATTAGTGTAAAAGTCTTCATATTTTTTACATTTATTAATAGGCATATATATTACAGGAGGACAAACTCCTACTTGAAAGCCAGCTTATTTTGGCTACGGCAGAGCCTTTGTGTCTTGATCCTTCAATAGCAGTGACCTGTACTACAAACAGACTCCTGTACAACAAGCAGAAGATGAATACTCGCCCCATGAAACGGTAGTTTTCAGTGCAAAGCGTGTAGAGACTTTCTTTGCAATTTTACGGAGTCTTTCAAAGAAAAATAGAAGTAATGCTTTGTGTGAAAAGTTTGCTGCTCATGTGCAATATCTAATATTAGGAATATGAGGAACAGTCACGAAATTATGTCTTATTTTTAAGTGCTCTGCATTGTACTATTTCAGTTAGTAGTAGATAATGTAATATGCTTATTTTTGCATATCAAAAGAATGTGTGTATAATTTTCATAATGTAATACCTTATATTGCAGTTTTGATTTTGTCCCTTTTATGTAAATCAGATGTAAACTGAGTCAGATGGCAGCTCAGTAACCTAAAATATATAAATGAATATGTTGTATATTAGTCTCTGATTTGTTAAAAGCTACGTGCAGGTTTAACCCTAAAAGTGGAAATCAAGGAAATTATTTATATGCTTGATATTCAGGCTAAACAGAAGTGTAGGCATACGAGAATCTTGGAAAATTAAATGTAATGTGGAATTTCCTGTATGTAAAACACTGAAATATTTTCACGTTTGTGCATGGTTGGTCACTTTTTTCAACAAAAGCTTGAAATGGTTCACATTTGTTCTACCAAGAGTTGCTTTCAGTCTCTAGAATTAAAATGGTCTGTCAGAATTACTGAAATAATTAAAACTAGAGTTGCATTGAATTGCTGTATTAACATGCAACCAATGGTAATGCCTAAAAAAGTTAAATAATTACATTGATGAAGATGTCTTTAAAATTAGAGCTTGGTGATCAACAAACATTCCACTAGAATAACAGCCAAAGGTGTTAAATGAATGTCCAGAACAGCATTAATGTACCAGTGGGTTTGGCATGAAACAAAGAATGGAGGGTAGTTACTGTGTTTATAACCTTACAGTTACATAAGTAGAAACCTGTGAAAATATACAAATATTTTAAGCTTGACAGCTTCAGTGAGTTAACTCATTTTGACAGTGTACTTCAATTGCGCATTTAAAAAATAACCTTATTCTTAGTGCTCAAACACATGAACAGTATGCTAGTGTTCTTAAAAAAATTAAAATCAAGAGTTTGAGTCATACAATGTAATCCAGTATAACATTTTGAAATTAATATTTCAAACAGTATAAGTACCATTTCCCTGCATATTTTTGTTTGTACACAGGCTGTGGGGAATTTAATTTTGATGGTTTTACAAGCTTATCTGTCATTTTACCATAGGTGCTTCAAGAGGTACTCAAGGTCATCTCTGAACAGACAGCAGGAAGTAGCTCACTATTCAACTCCACCTCAGCTCCGGCTACTTGACTACTTGCAGAAGAGAAAGGAGAGGAAAGGAGCCCAGCAGTATGACCTCAAAATTTCTAAAGCTGGAAATGTAAGTGTTCTGAGACATTGGTGGGAGTACTTCTAGCTGTTTATTTAAAACACTTAATACAGCTTTTTCATCTTCCAGTGTGTAGATATGTGGAAACAGAACCCTTGCTACTTGACTGCGCCTTCTGAAGTGGATGTAAGTCCAGTTGTTACCATTAGCAGTTAATAGCAATTGTATTGAATTATGTGAAGCATGCTATTATAATAGCACTATTATAATGCTAATATAATAGCAATTGTATTATGTGAAGAAGTGACTAAAGAGTATCCAGTGTCAAATAATGACCTTTAAAAAATAGAAATGACTTTAAGATTTTAAATAATTTTTCTGTACTCTGAGGTCTAAACACAAGCTAAACCACATTGGAATACATTGCGATTGTAATGTGATAGTTTGCACGGGATAAACAGTGTGAACAAACCATGCAAAACAAATACACCATTACACATTGCAGGCAGTGATTTAAATCTGTAGTCTTAAGCCATGTTTCACACTTTCATTAAGTTTAACATAGCAAATGTGGCGTAACAAGATAAATGTGAAGTCCTGAAGGTTCCACAGTTTACTTTTTTTTGAATGCACAAGACAAAGAGGGGATGCTGTACAAAGTGTCAAGCTCTCCTAGCCTGTTTCTTGCACTCACTTTTTAAGAATATTACGTCAGCCACTGTTAAAAACAAAAAGCTGTGCTGGTTTGATTCTGGCCCAATAAAACTATTGATCTTTCTTTTCTGTTATCTTGATTTTCTTTAAGGTGGAGAAGTACGCCAAAGTGGAAAAGTCTATCAAGCCTGATGACTCGCAACCAACCGTCTGGCCAGCACATGTGAGTAGTTCAGGCCCTTGGCCAGATTTCTCTGTCTCTAGTTAAAATGCCTCCTATTTCAGCAAAGTCAGTGTAATGAGGTAATAATCTTCCCTCCACCAATATAATCATCCATGAGTTATATAGACATAGAAAGATTATTATAGATACTTGTAACCTCGTACAGCGCAATTTGCATGTGATTGGTCTTTTAATTTCCTCAGGTTTTCCAGAAATACAAGGAAAAGCAACTTCAATCTTTCAAGTAACGTTCTGTTGCTGCATAGTAAAGAAAGCATAATAATTTACGGAAAACAGAACTCTGATCCAAAAATTACTCAGATACTCAAAGACTGATGGAAAAGAGCTTCAGTTAAAATCAAAATGTTACATTTGTAAAGATTAAGTAATATTAAATACCTCTTAAAAACTTTCTGCAGTATTTAAGTTGAACCTTAAGATTTTTTGCATAAAATATATGATTTGGTAAGAAGTAGTCATGTAATATAGTTAGTCATAAATTAATTCTTTGCTGTTTCAGAGGCAAGATACTATCTTTATTAACATCATGATGCCTTTGTAGATTCATATTGGCAAAAAGTAGTATGTTCCCATAGACCTTAATATTCAACATTTTACTTGGAAATTTTTTTTGCATCCTCATAATTTATATAAAACTGTTTCTGTATATGTTTACTCAGTCTGCCTTGTTTTTGCAATAGTTTGGTATTTGTAAGAGAAGTTAAACTCTTCTCATCCCTTCAGCTTTTTTCTGAAATCACTTACATTTGGTATAATGCACCCTTTCTTACAAAGTGTTACTTTCCTATAGAATGCTTCTTACTGTATTGTATAGAACTGGCATATTTTACTGTCTTTTTCTGTTATTACTTGCATAAGACTTACCTGGTTATTCTGTCTTTTTAGGAAATAAAAGATGATTATGTGTTTGAATGTGAAGTTGGTAATCAGCTTCAAAAAACAAAACTGACCATTTTTCAGTCTCTTGGAAATCCTTTGTACTATGGTAAAATTCAGACACTCAAAGGTGATGAGGAAAATGACAACCTATTAACTCCATCACAGTAAGTTACATGTTCTTTTAAACTGTGCTGTGATCTGGTAGATGAAGGAAGACAAGCATTATTTCTCATTTGCAGTCACAAAAATACTCCAGAGCTAGAAATCGAAGAGTTTTGTTTGAAAAATTCATCTAATGAACAAAACCAAAACAAAACAAAAACTATATTCAAGCAACTGTCATGTCTTAAATGTACTTTTATGTTAAATCTGCATATGTTTTTACATTAATAATATATTTAAAAAAACAAAACCAAATAAAAAAGCCCAACATCATCAACAAAAAAAACAACTCACTCAAATTGTAGAGACACTGTGAGACGTTGTTAGCACTCTTTTTAGTGTTACTCATAAATTTGATTGTTGTCAAAATTAGTCTGATGCTGCAAAAACATAAGACGTGATTATATTATGTTTACCATTATGCAGAGAAATTTAGGCTAAATAAAGGATGAAGGAAAACATGAGCTCCTAATAAGTTTCATCATTTTGAATTTTTTTGAGTCTTCTATTGTTGCCTGTGGTTATACAAAAATACTCTCTTCTTGGCTCTTTTTGTTGTGTGTACCAGATTCTTTGTATGGAGGAATCTGCAGCAGAATAGGCCCTATTAATTTCAGTAAGAGAAAGATCAGTAAGCCTGAGTGCTTTTTAGGTAATAAAAGTTGTTTTGATTTTCACAATCATAGAATGATTCTTAAAGCTTCTCTAGTTCCAGCCGCTCTGCCATGGCCAGGGACACCTTACACTAGACCAGGTTGCTCACAGCCCCGTCCAAGCTGGTCTTGAGCACTGCCATGGGTAGGGCAGCCATAGCTTCTGTGGGCAACCTGTGCCTCACCACCCTCAGAGGAAAGAACTTCTTCCTAATGTCTAATCTAAATCTACCTCCTTCAGTTTAAAGCCATTCCCCCTTCTCCTGTCGCTCCAGGCTCTTGTAAAAAGTCCCTCTCCAGCTTTATTGTAGGCCCCTTTTAGCTGCTGGAAGGCTGCTATAAGGTATCCCCTGAGCGTTCTCTTCTCCTGTCTTATTTATTAAAAATCTTAAAATCTTCTTAATACTCAGGATGTTTTCTCCCCAGACTGAGCTATTTACTGTTTGTTTCTGTACTCCTGTGGTTTAACCCCAGCTGGCAACTAAGCACCGCACAGCTGCGTGCTCACTCCACCACCATCTGTCTCCCCAGCCTCGCAATCCCCCCACCCTGGCAGTAGGGAGAGAATTGGAAAGGTAAAAGTGAGAAAACCCATGGTTTGAGGTAGACAGTTTAATAGGTAAAGCAAAAGCTGCATGCACAAGCAAAGCAAGGAATGTTTTCACAACTTCCTACCTGCAGGCAGGTGATTGGCTTTGGTGGTTTAACCCCAGCTGGCACCTAAGTGCTATGCAGTCACACGTTCACTCCCCATCCTCAGTGAGGTGGGGAGGAGAACTGGGGGGACGTAAAACCTGTAGGTTGAGACAAGAACAGTTTAATAATTAAAATAAATTATAATAATAAGGCTAATAATAATAATAAAAAGGGAAATAGTGAAAAGAGTGAGAGAGGAAACAACAAATGTAATACCAAACGGCAGTGATGCACAATAAAACTGCTCACCACGTGCCGACTCATACCTAGTCTGATCTGAGCAGCAATCAATTCCTTCTGGGTGACTCCTCCCAGTTTATATACTGGGCAGGACCTGCTGTGATGTGGAACATCTCTTTGGCTAGTTTGGGTCAGATATCCCGTCTCTGCTTCCTCCCGGCTTCTTGTGCTCCTCCTCACTGTTGGAGTACGAGAGACTGAAATGTCCTTGATCAGAGTAAGCGCTACTTAGCAACAACTAAAACATTGGTGGGTTATCAGCATTGTTCTCAGACTGAAACCAAAACACAGCACTGTGCCAGCTACTAGGAAGAAAATTAACTACCCCAGCTGAAACCAGGACGTTGGGTTTCTCCAGGAAAGATGGGCTTCATCATGCGTAACAGTTACTTGGGAAAACAAAATGCTGTAACTCTAAAGGTCCCTCGCTTCCTTCTTTTCCCAGCTTTATATGCTGAGAATGATGCCATATAGTATGCCCTATACCCTTTTTGTCAGTTGGGGTCAGCTGTCCTGGCTGTGTCCCATCCCAGCTTCATGTGTACCCCATGGCGACTCACTGGTGGGTTGAGGTGCAGAAAAGGCCTTGACTGTGTAAGCCCTGCTCAGCAGTAACTAAAATATCCTTGAATTAGCAACACTTTTCTGCACAAATTGGGAACCTTACCCTGTACCAGCTAGTGTGAAGAAAGTTTTCTCCCAGCCAAAAGAAGCACACATACTTAGTATTGATGTTCCTGGAACAGTAGTGCTAGCTTATAATTGTATAATAAGGTTGGGAATTAAAAGGATTTGTAGGTGTTAAATGCTTCAGGTTTTTTTGGAAATCACTGCTCTAGTCCATTATTTTTAAGACATTTCGTGTTTGGACTAGGTGATCTCCAGAGATCCCTTTCAACCCTAACAATTCTGTGATTGCCAATTGAAGTTCATTAAAATTTGGGTATTTCTTCAGTAGCAAACTGTGTCATGTAAAGTGGAAGGTTCAGAATATGTTTTTGTTGTTCTACTATAAAATAAAGTGGATTTTGGTGTTTTGGTTTTTTTTTTTTTTTGAGATAGAAGGTCTGTGTTTAGAAAAAAACCAAATCACTAAAGTAGTAAGTTTGCAAGCCGTAAGTGTTATACAAAAGGGAAAAGCTGATTTAGGAGTTCTGGCAAATCATGAGGAATCAAACCTGGATTAAGTGAAGTCAAGCAATGGAAATTAAATGTTTGTTAGAATGTTACAAGTCAAGCTGTTTTTGACATGCAGGACACTCATGTTTCAGCTCGAGCCTGTTGGTATGTTTATTTATACGTAAATTTTCCCTTGTACTTTTTACAATTACTTCCTTTATTTAAAGTATAAAATGCTAAACTTCCATTTTCTACCTTTTGTAAATAATTTACGCTTAGAGGAGACTGTGTGTATGCTGTATATGTAACTATGAAGCCGCATTTGTAATTCAAGTACTAAATAATAACCCAGTCCATTAAATGGATACAGTATCTCCTATTTTAAGCAGGTCTGAAAGAAGAGCAGCACTGACATTTGTTTGAAGTCTTGTGGTTATAAAAACATATTCTTTTAATCCAATTCATGACTGAAAATGTATTTTATATTTTACGTTTCAGGTTCCTTATTGGTTCCAAGACTGATGCTGAAAGGTTAGTCAATATAGTATGTATAACCATATGGCTTGATGCCAAATAATTGATTTTGTTCTTTCTAGCCATTATGACTGCTAATGTTATGGTTATGGAAACAGATGCAGAGCAGATGAAGGAAATAAGAGGAATTAATCATCGTAAGAATATAGCATGCAGTTTCTGTATTTAGCAAGCAAGGAAAAAAAGAGAAAAAGCAAATATGTGAATACAGCTTATACCTAAATTTCAAGCATGTTGTTAGCAATTTTCACAATTATTCCTGATTACACAGGTAATAATAAAATTCTGAGAGTGCTTAGCAGGAATTTCAGCTTGACATTTTGTATGGTAAATTAGAATTCGTGGAAGTGGTTAATTCAGGTTGGATGAGGCCTTGGGTGATATGGTTTAGTGCGAGGTGTCCCTGCCCATGGCAGGGGGGTTGGAACTTGATGATCTTAAGGTCCTTTCCAACCCTAACTGTTCTATGATTCTATGAACTTTTAAGTGTAATCTAGGACTTAAGACATATACAGCTTATTTTTGTGTGTTGTGCATGCTGTGATTCATCTTTCTTAGAGAAGCAAGTAACAAAACAGTTTTCCAGTATATATTAGCTATAGAATGATTAGAAGTAGCAACTACCAGATAACAAGCAGCAAAGTAAGTCGTTCCTTGGATATTCATGCATCACATAGATACCTGCATTTGTGCATATGAGCACAGAACCTTGAAAAAGCAATCTCTATTCCACACACACACCCCCCTCCCCCCATTTATGTGCCTGGCAGGGAGTCCTTGATTTGCTCAAAAATCAATAATAATGTTCATTTTAATAGATAGTTTTGATAAAGAAACTCTGCTTATATTTTCTCCTTCCTCCTTTGTGCTAATAAAGACTTTTGCTGTTTGTGCTGAAAGCTGAATTGGGGGATTGATTGTCTGAAAACTAAATAATACAGCAGTTTAGTTTTAACTGGGGTTTATCTCCTAATCATGTTTGTTACTGGATTGCACAGATCCTTCTGTCAGGATAAACAGTGGGTTTCAGGGACTAGGACAAGAAGAAACAACAGAGGAAGAAGGAGGCAGGACCACCTTTTTGAGCACACAGTGTTTTATTACTCTGACACCACGTTAAGGCAGTCTAAAATCAAATTGCTGAAAAATGTACGCTGCAGCCTTTCCTCTGCTGTATGTCTTGGGCCCTTGCTTATGCCTGTATTCGTCGCATGACAGATACTTGAATCAGTGCTATACCAAAACAAAGTGTAGTTCATAGTATTTAGGTATAAGCTAATGGAACATTCTTGCGATCTGTCACTGAGGTTCAATCTGCCAGAGCATAAGTGATGACAGGTCTTCAGCTTGATCTTTCAAGTACTTAAGGTCGTTTTGTGTATTCTGCTCATGTTTGTGAAACAGTATTCCCTCCGCATGGTTCTTTCAGATTAATAGAGATGTAGTATTTGATTTGGTAGAACAGTATTTTAAACTTGTTTGCCTGATGCTATTTATGCATTAAATTCCTGGATGCATCACTACTTATTAGTCTGGTAGAATAAGACCTGGTTGCCCTGGTGCTCAAAGAAGAGTGATCACTTCTGCTGAGATAACTGGTTCTTGGATGTACATTCAATGTGGACCTCTCAATTTAGCCCTTGCTTTCAGAGTCCTCATCTGACAGGCCTCAAGTTAAAGGAGGGTTGACTGTTCCACAGGGAGCATAAGTGGAGAGGACACAGCTTTATAAAAGATACTCAACCCTTGTAAAGGGAATGGGATCCCTATTGACTAACATCCCAAAGAACTGCAGTTGCTTTTGGGAACTGTTCTGTTTTACATATTCCTCCAACTACAGTAGTCAGGAAGAGACAGTGATTAAAAGAAAACTTGAAACAGATTAAATCTAAGAAAAGTGCCCAGGAACATAAAGTGGAAAGATATATACATATATTTTATATGTGTGCGTCTCTCTATATGTACACTTACGTGTAAAATATGTAACATATGACTGGGTAACATGCACAATTACATGTTTACATATATGTATCTACTTTGAAGTTCAAAGTTGTTAATCTCTTTGTCCTTACTGTTTGTTTCAGAGTGGTGAACCAGTATCAGGAATTAGTACAAAATGAAGCTAAATGTCCTGTGAAAATGTTTCATAATTCATGTGGATCAGTCAATCTTAGTCATCTTTCTCCAGGGAAGGAAATGGAAGTGAGTTTATCAAGCCATCCAATTCTTTCATTTGCACTTGATTATTGGAATAATTTTTGCTTTGTCATAATCATTCAGTTTTTGAGTATATTGGAAAAGTTGGAGGAAAGCACATTGTTTTCACTGTTCAAATGTGCCTTTTAACTGTTTCCCTCCCCACCCCCCAATGTATGGTATAGGTAGATCCAAGGTTTTGCATTTTCCCGTGGTTTATATGAATCTTTCACAGAGCAGTATAGTAAAATGCAGCTATGAGTTATATTTTATAGGTCAGTAAGCATAGAAGCAGATAGAGTAGCTGAACTTCTTTTACCCTTGGAAATTATTAAAATTACTTTCTCTTTGGGAACTAAAACTTCTGTTTCACTTGCTGCTCCTAGCTTTGTTGGTCGAATTCAGTGCTCTAGCAGAGAGCTGTATTTAGGGGTCCAACTAGTAAAAGAATTTTGTATCTGTTGGGCTATTTTCTTTGCTACATTTTTCCCCTAAATAACTGCTTTTAAACTGCAACAACATTGATCTGAAAGAGGTAGCTCTTGGTGTCAGCCAGAAGAACAGCATGCGGAGACCAGCAGTTGCAGAAAAAATATGAGTGTTTCTGCTTGTGTGTATACACCTACAGAAAAGTGCATGTGCATTTGTATATACATGTATCTGTGTGTATGTATTAAAACCATAGAATAACTTGGGGTGGAAGGGTACTTCTAGAAGTCATCTGTCTGGCTGTCCAAACCCCCACCAAAAGCTAGACCAGAGTTACTCAGGTTACTGTATTTAATGATCTAGTCCCCTTTTGAATGGGACATTAGTCTTTATTTTCAGAGTAAAGAAAGTGGGATATAATACTAGAAAACTTGTCCTCAGAATTTTCCTTTTTTTTATTTTAATAAGCAGACAATTAGAAACATACAGAGGGAGTGTCTTTTATCACTGAGAATCAGCAGAAGCTAAGCTCTCCAAAAGGGTTCTGCACATAAATAATTCCATTCACTATACTGACAGACTAATTTTCCAGTTTCAGCAGTTTTATTTACAGGATGCCTGCTTTATAGGTAAATATATATATAGACTAACTGTAAATGTGTTTCACCGTTGAGTCAGCTCATCAAAACACTGTTTTGCTGGTGTCAGCTTATTGAAGTGGTGGATTTGAGGTCTGTTGTGAGTGACACAGAAGTACAAATTTGATTAGCTGAAGTTATTTATGTTCAAACAACCTGATAAGTAGGTCATAAGAACAAACAAAAAGGGAGCACCTTTCCTCTGAAAATGTTAGTGAGGTTCTGTTCCCATAGAAGTCAATGGAAAAATGTATACTGACTTCCATGCATTGAGAATTTGCCTGAATGTACTTAAATGTACTCTTTGAATCTGATCCTGTTTTCTAAATACATCTTGGTTGTAAATGGCAGATGTAGACAGATGGTGAATAAATGAAATTATGTAATTTTTCAAGTAAGACCAAATTGTCCTTTTACTTACAGTGCATCTGTCAGTGTGTGTTTGTGAAAATTACTAGGAAGGATTTCAGAATTGCAGAAACAAGAGAAACTCCTTAATTTTTTATTTTTTATTTTTTTTGCTTAGTTTAAATTTTACCTGCATTATCAAGCCACTTCTTTATGGTAAGCGTTTTATCTGAAGAGAGTGTGTCATAGGTTATGTTTCTAAAGTACATAAATAAAAATCTGAAATGTTTGAAGGTAATTTTGTCATGGCTGAGAAGTCTAATACAAATTAATTGAATTTTCTGTCAAATATGTGGAAGTTCACTTTATTGCTGTGGTAGTGTTAATTTCTCTTTCCTCCTAGCAGCCAGAGAGTATATCAGGCTCTGTTCAGTCTTCAGTATTGGGGAAAGGTGTAAAACACCGGCCTCCTCCCATCAAATTACCTTCAAGTTCCGGAAGTAGCTCCTCAGGTAATTACTTATTGACTTGGGCATCTCCTTTGTATGTGTTCTGCCTGTTGTAAAATGACATCATATCCCTTATTAATGATTTAATTAAAAAAAAATAATCAGTATCTTATCTGTGAAAAAAGCTTTTTTTTTTTTAAATTTTTGATTATATTGTTCACAAACTTGTATCCTCGAATTAACATCTACGAACAGAACAACAATGTATTTTAATTATGCTTTTTCAGGTAATATTTTTAGTCCACAACAGTCAAGTGGCCATCTAAAATCCCCAACTCCTCCTCCTCCTTCTAAGCCTCCTGGTCTTTCTCGGAAACAATCTATGGATCTTAATCAAGTTAGCATGCTCTCTCCAGCTGCCATGTCTCCTGCAAGCTCTTCACAAAGTGAGTCACGACCTAAATTCTCCATTAAATCTTAGGCTTTTGCATAAATGCTTCCTGAGATAAACTACTTAACCTGTGGAATGATGATACTTAAGTGTACAGTGTACCCTAGATTGTATAAGTTGTGCAGGCTTAGGCAGGTCTCTTGTTCACTGTATGTATTTTATGTTTATTGTAACTGTGTTTGTTTTTTCTGTATATATGTATGCACCCTCTGTGTATACGTTTTAATACATTTTATGCAATTAGTGTGATCTCCTCATTTATGAAAGGCTGGTAGATGATGTGATGAGATAAAATTCCGAAGTGTAGCTTTTTTTCCTCCAGTGTAAAAACAGTATGTTAGGTCAGTTTGCCTTTACATAATTTAAGCATTTTTAAATGTTATAGGAGCTGGTGCAGTTGTATCTGTATGTATGTATATAATCTGATCAGTCCCAAGGTGGTGATACAATAAACAATAAGATGATTTTTTAAAAACACTCCTGCACTGTTTTACAAATCATTGCTGATTGCAAGTGTGGTGGTGATGCTGCTGCTGGTAGCACCGTATTCTCAGGTGTTAAAATGTAAATTCCAGTAAGTGACATCCTAGTTTAAATATTATTATTAACACTGACAGGATCATTGCAATCATAGCTATAGATCATAAATACCTTTTAAAATATGTATGTGTCTTGAGACATTTCAAGAACAGACTTGTACAATGAGAAATCATAGCTGCATTTTTTCAGATTTTTATGAATAATTGTATACTGTACATTCCAGTATTCTGCACAGTATTATAATACACTTTTTGCATTAAATAATTTAAAATCTGGATAGCTGAAAAGGTGTAACTTTTCTGCCTTCTTGCTTTGCACAGAGAAAAAAAGAAAACTTAAAAAGTTTTCTTCTAACATACTGACTCTGTTTTTATGTTAATGTTATGAATTGTGTAAATCTGTTGCACACAGTTGTTACTTTAAGGCTCTGGTCACAACATTCACATTTACTTCCTTTCTTGATGCGGGATGTGCAAGCTAAATAAAGCCCAGGGGAAAAAAGAACAACCAAACCAAAACACCTCAAGCTTTTGGGGTTTTTTGTTTTTCTATTGATAAACTGTGCTTACTGCATCCACAATGAGTATAGTATACAATCTACACTTAAGCAGAAGGAATTGCACATTAACTTTTAAAGATGCAGTATTATCCTCTGGTTCTTAAATATTTCTAAAAAATATTTTTATTTGGTCAAAATTTGGCAAATGGAAGTTTAACTGTCTCATGAAACTTAGCTCAACCTCATGATTATTGCAGTAGTACATGTTCTTTGTCAAATCCGTTGTTTCCATGATCTGTTTTTAACACAATGCTATTGTGCAGGCAGTGCATATAGACTATATGTTTAACATTTTATGACAAAACCATTAATTGCGTTAAAATGGTCACTAAGAAACTGTTTTAAGTATTTCTGAATGGAGTCAGGACTTAATGTGTGATAAAATATTGTAATTGAGGATACAAAGTGGTGTGTGGCTTGAGAAATTAAGCATGGAGTGTGGGTTTTCTGTGTGATTATACTGCATCCTTAACAAGGAGTGCGTGCTGCAACACTCGTGTCATGTAGAAATTAACACTTGCAGTCTAAAAAATGGAACAAATTGTCAGTGCTAAATAACATTCCATTAACCTTATTATACAGAAAGGCTGGCCTTTTATAACAAACTAGCATTTTTTATTTTTCTCAATGAGCAGGGTCTGGAACTCCTAAACCATCTACTCCTACTCCAACCAACACCCCTTCATCGACCCCACACCCTCCTGATGCTCAGAGCACAACTCCTATTACCCCTTCTGCCACCCCTACTCCCCAAGATTCAGGCTTCACCCCTCAGGCCACTTTGTTAACCCCGTTTGCTCAGCAGCAGATGTCTCTGAGCCAGGCACTGCCTGTAATGACCATTCCTCTTTCCACCATGGTAACATCCGTTACTACAGGAACAGCATCCACCCAGGTCATGGCAAACCCTGCAGGACTTAACTTCATCAATGTAGTGGGCTCTGTGTGGTAAGTTCTGATGGTTTTTAATTTGCCCTGGGAAGGTTGGTTGTTGGGGCGGGGAGGGTGGAAGTGGTACAGGACTGTCCAGCATCCAGTGGGATAGATATTTTTCAGAATCTGCAACCCAAAAAGATTGTTCACTTTGTCATTATGAAGTCAAAAGCCACGAGAAACTGTTTGTACTTCTTAAATATAAGGCACCTAATATAAGAATATATTAAGAAAGACTGGTATTGTTTTCAGCTTTTTGGATGTCTATAGTTTGACTTTGTAAGACTTAACCTCAGTTTGAGTACTGAGTTTTTTTCTCATGAATTTTAAAACTTTTTTATTAATCCAAGAAGAGATGAAATATCATAGGTAGACAACTCTAAAGTAAAAATGGAAAGAGATTTGATACTAAAGTGCCTATGAATGAAAGGTAAAAAACAAGAAAACAACAAATCTGGTTTCTAAGAATTTGATCAAACATTGAGGTTAAACATTCTTTGATCCTTAAAACTCATTTTGTGGTTTAAAAAAATAAAAACCAGTAATTGCTGCTGTCAGAAATACATTGTGTTATAATGTGAACGGCTTTTTAGACTAAATAAAATACTGTGATCAGTAGAAGATGGCCAGTATAAGACACATGGTGTTCTTCAGTGCAAGTATTGGACACTTGAGTTACTCATCCAGTGTTCAGCAGTTGATCACTGTTGATTAATTAGATTTTTTTTTTAATTCAAAAAGAAAACATAACCTTGTTCCTTAATTTTTTCTTATATGATAGTTCAACTACTTTGAAGAGTGACAATATTTCAGTATTTCTATTGTGTTTTATTTTCTGTACATTATACCAAAGGGGTATACACAAAAAAGTGTATATCCTGAGAATATGGATTTATGTATTGGTTATGCCCTAAGCATAATGATTTTTTTAAGATGCCTTGATGCCTTATTCATAATCCCATTTACAGCAAACAGTTAAATTACTTGTCACGAGACAGGGCAAAACTTTAGTTACTCAGATTTAATTGTACCGCTTGGGTTTGATACATTGTCTTTCCTCTTCTACAGTGGAGCACAGACACTGATGAGTGGTTCAAACCCTATGTTGGGGTGCAACACTGGTGCCATAGCCCCTGCAGGTATAAATCTGAGTGGCATTTTACCATCAGGAGGTCTGGTACCAAATGCCTTGCCTGCTGCAATGCAGTCTGCCTCTCAAGCAGGTTAGTGTGCATAAGTTTGTAAGCCACCCTACAGATAGGGACAATGTGAAAACATACTGTGAGTACAGTGGACAAAAATGGCCACTGTGTGGCTAGATTGTGCATTTGATGGCTGAAGCTCAGAAGCAACGTGTGTATTTTTGCATTCAAAGTGTAGGCAATGCTTTAGATTCATTTTTGAGGAGCTAGAGTGGGGAAACATACTCTAAACCTGGATTGTTTGGTATGCTCACTAGGAAGTTTGAGGTACATTCCAGATTCATAGGCAACTGTGATAACGATGACTGCTAGAAAAAATGGCATGACTTAGAGGCCTCACTTTTTAAATGTGTGAAGTATTTTATTCTGTCCTTGGTACAGCTTTATTATTATAGAATTATAGAACGGTTTGGGTTGGAAAGGACCTTAAAGATTACCCATTTCCACCCTCCTGCCATGGGCAGGCACACCTTCCACTAGCCCCATCCAACCTGGTCTTGAACACATCCTAAGATGGGGAATCCACAGCTTCTCTGACCAGCATGTTCTAATTCTAGTAGGACAATTAATTAGTTCCTTATTGCCTTCAAATATGACTATATAAATCTCTATGCCTCAGTATTCATTAAAGCAGGATTTTAAATTTAATTTCTTTTTTTCTGAACGTACAAGAAACAAAAACTAACGTATGATTATGAAATCAGAATGATAGAAGAGACTTCAAGATGTCCATCGTTTACACTGAAACAGGGTCTAAAACACGCTGAACCAATGTTTGTATAAACTGACTAAATGCCTTCACTAAAGAAGATTCCAATCTTCATTGGTGGCTGTTTGGAGTAGTTCATCTATGTTTCATTCTAATTACAGTGCATCTCCTTAATAGAAAGTTAATTTTTTTTTTTTCCTCGTATTCCTTGCAGTTGTTCACCCTTTCTCTTTACCTCCTAAGTATCAAACGTGCTGTCCTGTCCCACATTTGTCTTCTCTTTCTGCTAGGTCGTACTTTTCAAACCTTTCATAATCTGTCACTCTCTTCTAGACTGTCCAATTTGCTTACATCCTTCTTAAAATGTGATAACCAAAACTGGACACAAGCCTGAGCTTGGCTGATTTACCACTGTGGAGCACAGCAGAATAAATGCATCTCATCTCTTTCACAACATTCCTGTTAACATTTCCCCAAGTGAGGTCTGCCTATTTTTTATCTATATTTTTTGCAAGAGCATTACATTAACATAAGAATGGCATTACTGGTTTAGGCCAAAAATCCATCCAGTTTATATTCTGTCTCTGACAGTTGCCATTATAGGATACTTAGGTGAGAGCTTAAGATGAGGCAGAAGTGTGAAGTGAAATATACCTTGTATGCAACCTGTTCCTCTTGTGGAAATCCATAGCTTTGAGACATTCTCAGCTGAAAACTATTGACATGGATCTTTGTGCGTAATATCCCATGCTAGACTTCTAGTCTGTGGATTTATCTATTTGGTTTTTGAATCCATTTATATTTTTGGACTCAACAGCATCTTGTGACAGTGAGTTATTTATAAATGTAAACTGTATGAAAAGATTCTTTTATGTGTTCTGTAGTTTGTGATATGGCTTGGATATGTGTGTGACTTACTGTAACTTATGTCCTTTCTGGCTGTACATACACAAAGCTAGTTACAATTTTGTATTCATTCCTTTGACTTCTTTTATTCAGTGTTACTGAATTTTGCATCCTTTCTTTAATTCACTAAGATCACCTTTAATTCTAATTCTGTCCTTTCAAACACTATCAACCTTTATCAGTTTGATGTCACAGATTTTTACATGCTATGCTGTCACCCACATAACAGATGGAAGTAGTGAACTGAGCAAGGTCTGTGAAAGACCTTTTGGGAGTTCTGTTTGACAGACACTATTTTACTGGAGAGTTTGTATCAGTTCTTCACCCACCTCATTGCTTACCACACATACATCTTTCTTTAGCATAGCTTTGAAGAGTCCCATGTGGAATAATGCCAAAAGCTCCAGAAGTCAGATATGTCTTGCCAGAAGCCCTTTGACGGGTGGGCAATTGCTAAGGTTTTGAGTAGGATTGTTTTCTGTTAGTGATTGGGAAACTGAGAGCCTGTTACTTCATTGAGCCCTTGGACATTTCTGGATTTATTCTACAAACAGCAGAATGTTTTAAAGCCAGAAGAAGAATGACTGAAGAATAACTGCTGTGATATTCTCCACATTCACCTTTGTGTAAATGCATGAACAGGTTATATGTTAACAGGGTACAGTGTTTAGTAGTGATACACATTTCTTTCTGTTTAGTCAGCTCTCTGTAAATTTGAATCTGGAACTATGAACTCACCAGCATTATAGAAAATACAGCATTGTATTAAGTATACAGTAAGCCAGTTTTCCAACTTCCGCATGTTTAGAAATAATCCCAGTGGAAAGGGCTATTAATTGAAATACACAAATGTAGTTAAGTGAAGAGTTCCTACTAATAAAAAGATGTTTTCTTTAACAGGCAGCCCCTTTGGTTTGAAAAATGCATCAAATCTTCGGCCCTTAAATCTTCTACAGGTAATGGATATACTTGGACACAATGATAATGATAATTTCCTGTATTTCTTTAGAGACATGTTTAGTACTGCATTGCCCCCCACCCTCGTCTTTTTGAAGCCAGTTGATTGGACAGACCATTTACTGCAAATTTTAATGCTTATTTAAAATGCTTAGAATAAGCAAGAACGCTACTTGCATGAAGATATTAAGCGGAAATCATATTCCTAGCTCATAACAAAGCAGCTGGTTCTCAGTAATAATCTAAACATGCTGACATTTAAGTTCAAGAGATTAATCCTAAAATACGATCTTTTATTTTCAAGATTCACCTACGCTTTCATTGTAAATCATTCTTTAAACTGGAATTATTATTATTTTTAAAGTACAAAACTACAGTAGAATCAGGGGTTACACACATAATGCCTAAAAGCCAAGCTCAGCATGCACAGGTAGGTGCAGTAATTAATAGCTTTAAAGAGCTTCTAGTAATGGAAATAGAAATTCATGTAAGATACAGAGTTTAGAAGGTCTGTAAATGTTTTCTTTCCACTAAGCATCCCTACAAGTACAAACATGAGCAGAAGTTCCTTATTATGTCACAGTTCCATTTAAAAGGAGAACAGCATGTTTCTAGAATCAGGTGGAGATCCTGGATCTTGAAGTCAGCTGCAAATGCAGTTTCAACATTCCACAAGTGTTGCACCATGCTTTAAAACATTAAAAACAGTAAAAGATCAGCTATACTTCCTCCTCCCACTCCTGTACTCACTCCAGAAACATGGAAAAGGGCAGGCACAGGAGGCAGTTAAACCAGAGTAGAGCTCTTCTGTAAAACTTGAGTATGTGTGTATTCTGTTTGTGTGATTCCACATTGAAGTACATTCTTTCAAGCTACCTCTGCTACTCATATGATCCAAGAATAATTCGGCTGAAATCAGTGCAATTAAAGCTGGGGAATCAAGACTGTTTCACTGAAGCATTGTTTGGTTGGGTTGGTTTTTTTGGATTAGACCTTGCAGTTCATTGACTGGAAGAATCTATTACAATTCAGTGAAATATTCCGAAAGGGAAAACAACATACAGTGCTTTGCTTTTGAAGCCTAACCTTTACATTTTCAGAATATAAATAATAAAACTCTATATTTTCCTGTGAAAATATCTTGCTATAATTTGTATTCTGAGCATAAGGCTTTTTCACAAACAGCAGCAATTGTAAACTGATTTATTTCAAAGGATTAAAAAAAAACAAACACGAACTTGACAAACAGAACCAAAGCCAAGCCTCCAAGCAGTACATCATTATCAATATCATGTTTATCCTCATACAGCGAGAAACTTAGCAGTTTGATTGAATTATGCCTTTTGTTTTTAATCCTCAAAAGCTTCCAGGTGGTTCACTTACTTTTAACCCACTCCAGCAGCAGCCACTGTCACAGTTTTCTCCACAGCAACAATCTCAGCAGCCTATAACCTGTAGTCCTCAGCAACAGGGAGAACAGGTGTGTGCTAACAACCCTCAGCCTGGGGTGCGTGGATCAAAGAGTTTCTCCTATTCTCCACATCTACACAAATAAATGAGCCTTTACCCAGTAGATCTGAAGCAGAGGGGAGGAAAGTCTTCCTCCAAACCTTTCTCAATCTGAAGAGACTGCAGCAGCTTTGTTGCCATGGCTGGACTGGGTTATTCTCCGTTACTTACATCCTGTATAAAAAGAGCTGTAACAAAACAACTGGCTAAGCACTAACTCTAGCATAAAGAGAGCCAGCTCACTGTATGAGAGGTGTAAAATCAGCTTAGTGTTGTCCTGTTATAACTAGCTGATGTAGAGATACATCAGGTAAACACATTAAAACCATATTCGGGGTAACTATGGAGTAAGTACAAATTCTTACTTACACTGGTGTGAGTCGGCATATGATCCTCACCGCTGTAGTTCAACACAATTGTTCTTTTTGCACCAGAGGAAGCACCAGTTGGCTTTAAAGCTGTAATCTTAAGACGCTGCTGCTGCTTGTAAGTAGTGTTAAAGGCTTTAATCACTGAAGAGGCCTATAAAGTCCTGAAAGAGACTGATCTGCCTGTTCTCAAAATGACAGACTTTGAGTGGTTGGTTCTACCTGTGCCTAAAAAACTTCACCAGCACTAGTGCACCAGTTTGGGAGAAGTAGCTGTTCTGCTTTTGTGGTCTTTAGCTTTTGTCTTTCCAGATATGTTTGCCAGACTTCTGTTTGCCAAATAGCTTCTACTGGATACTCTGTTTATCATGATAATTTTGTTCATTCTGCTGTAGACTGGTCATAGATGAGATACCTCTTTCTAATATTTGTATGGTGTATAGTCTTCTGTGTCACAGGCCTTATTCTGGAATTTGGGATAGTTTAATGGGATTTGTTTGCAGAATACAAATGTCAGTTACTATTTGAACTACTAAAAAGAAATCGTGCAAGCGCATACTACTGGGTTTTATTTTTGAGACATTCAACTTTCAAGAGCATTTACAAAAAAGCTGATGTGAGCCTAGTTCTTCACATGGCAGAATGGTTTCCTCCAGAACTCTCTCTCTGCATTGGCTGACTTGGGCTAAGGAACTTCTCTCTTACCACACATTATAGGGTGATGAGCTAAAATGGGCTCATACAAATATTCAATTCCTTAGCTTTCACAAAGGACAAATATGTGTGTGCTTATAGTGCTGTAGTCCAAGTGCTTTGTGGAAAAAACTTATGCCCCAAAAGACTAGCAATTTTCTGTGCTGCGAACAGGACATACATGTTTTCATCTCGTGTTTAGGAGTTTTCTCCAAATGTTGGTTGTAACATTCTAAGTCTTGGTCATCTCCATCAAGATTATGATGTCTTCTTAATGTGTAGTCTTTTGATCAAATTTACTTAGGTCTTAGTGGCATTATTTCATGCAGTTATTCTGAAGAACTGTTGCAACTCTGGAAATGCACCAGCTCAAAAGATTTTATTTTCTGACAGATAAACCACGCAGCTTTCTTGACTTGCATATGTAATACTTTATTTCCCCACTTCCTAATCAGTGCAGTTTAAGTATAGAAGAGGTCATAATTCAGAACCCTTCAACTTCAGTAGACGCTAGGTCAGACTTCACTAATTCCATTTGAGTGATTACTGTCAGAACAATTCTGTTCTGAAAATAAAATTTTAAAAGCAGGGTTTGTATTTGTGAATTCAAGGAGTGTGTGGCACAATGTGAACATGTGAATGTAAGCTTCAGACTTCGCACATTTTGATTGACGAAGACCTTTGCACATGGATGGTTTCAGGTGTCATCTGAAGACGGGTTGGGAGTGGGACGGGATATTGTCATAAGACTACAACCATGAACTGTAGTCTGCTGGCTGTAGGGAAGTTTATAACTACATGAGATTTCTGCTGAGTGACAGGCATTATACCATTTCTGCCAAAATGGAACTGGTTTGGGGCATTCATCATCTGTTTTACTTTAGTAGTGACTACGTCATAGCCTGTATCTATACACACTGGAAGATGTAGAATTAAATGGTTTTAAGTGGCACTTCAAAAGTTTGCCTTCACACTGGTTTATTTACTTATTGTTACCAAAGTTTGGTAATAAGGATCAAGCTTTTCATTTTTGCTAGGGCTCTGACCAAGGTCCATCTACTCAAGATCAGGCATTATCTGCCCAACAAGCTGCTGTAATAAACCTGACCGGAGTAGGGAATTTTGTGCAACCTCAAGCCACAGGTACGTGCTTGCTGAGCCTCTTTGTGTGGTGCAAGTGTGTATGTCAGTAAATTCACACTGAGATGAAGTTTGGTTTTAAAGAAGTCTTATGTTACATTAAAACAATTTACTATTTATTGTCAGCACATGAAATATACAAGAAATACTTCATGCACTTTTCTGCTTTGTTTGGCAGTTAAGTGTAGGAAATTGATATCACATGAACATCACACTTGATACAAAAAGAAAATGGACTTCCATGCCAGACTTCATTGAAGAGCATGTCTTTTAACTGTGTGCTTAACATCTAATATGAGAAACCTCTGTCTCCACAAGCACTTCATAATCTAATTATGTTCTAACTAACAGAGCGTGTAGATCATGGTTATTCTGCATTGTTTCCAATTTAACTCTGAAACTAATCCTCTTGATCCCTCTTTTCTATTACACTCTATTCCTATGTCTTCCTTCCCTGACCCTGCCAAACTCAACCTGCCCTCTTTGACCTGCCTGCTCTCCCCTTCTCCGTTCTTAGTGTTGTCTCAGCTTGGCTCTGCTGTGAACAGACCTGGGCAAAGCCTTCCTCAGCAGAGACTCCAGCTCTCTTCTGCCTTACAACAGCAACAACAAGCCTTGCAGCAGCAGCAGCAACAGATGCAAGTAATCCAGCAACTTCACTCTGTTTTTAAAAAAAAAAAAAAAGATAAAAAAATACAATTCTCAGCTCCAAACAAAAAAACAAAACCCAATTTTGACTTTTAAACTAATGTCCTTACGGTCTGGCAAATGAAAAACCCATGAATTTTGCAAACTATCATGGAAGATTTAAAATCTGGTTCTCAGCTTGGAGCACTGAATTTATTTTTATTCATTTCAGCCATCCACCTTCCTGATTTGCTAACATTCAAGGAGTGTTTGTGGCACACACCCAAATGAGCTTATATTGGTCAGTATAAGTTTTGAGCTTAGCACTGCTGTGGTCAGTACATGGAAGCGACAGCTCTGGCCAAGCATTCTTTTAGCACTCCATTGTTCAGCTGCTTTATGAAAAGATGGTAATACTTCTTTTAGCACACGGCCTCCTCTTTGTGATACATGTAGAAAATATGTACAATGCATACCCTGAGAAGGTATTACATTAAAATATACTATGTAACCCGAACATTCATTGAAGTTGCTGAGTTACTACAGTTACTGCGATGGAGGGAAAGGGCAAAGACACAAAGCTGCCAAGAACACCTGTGAAATGTTAGAAATGCCCTCAGCAGGCTTCTGTGCCACTGGTGCTGCTTGACTGTACTCATTGCCCCAGCACACGGTGTATTCCCTTTGTCAACCTGGTGCTTCCTCTTTTGTTCTCCTTTTATTCCACACCCTTTCCTCTCATTCTTCCTGATGTGAAACAAAGCTTCATTGTCAACACTAACAAGCTTTTTCTCCTTCTTCATGGCAGCAGTTGCGATTCTTGCAGCATCAAATGGCTATGGCAGCAGCAGCGGCACAAGCAGCTCACCTGCAGCAGCAACAGCATTCAGGCAGCCACTCAAAAAGTAAAAGGAAAAGAGGCACATCAGCCCCTCCACAGTCCTGAGACTTGCTCCCCCCCCCAGTACAAAATTGTTTCAGAGGGGATTATTGTTGTGTTTTTGTTGAGAAAGCTCAAATCAGTGTTTTATAACACTGGTGGGAAAACAAACTTTGACATTAACACTGAAATAAATTAACTGGTTTTGGAAGCCAACCCTCCAGAACGTGGAGATTTCACCTATAAAGCAGCTACTCTGGTTTCCTTAAGTCACTTGATTTTTTAACAGAATGTTGTCTTTTTTACCACTCAGCAGCACTGTATATAGTATAAGGGTGAAAAACATTTTAGAAAAAAAATGAACTTTGTAAATGTAGTACTGGTATTTGTTTATTTAGTATGAAAGGTTTGTGAACACTGTAACAAATACAATTTTTACAAATCCATTTTCAAAAAGATCTCTCCTTTTGTTCACTTGGGCTTAATACTGTTTATTACTTTGTCTATCAGCTTTTTTACTTCCCTCTGTCTTGTAATTGCTCTGCTGATACAGTCCTGAAGCTTGGCTCCTGTGAGAGGACTTCCACCTAAAAATTAAAGGAAACAAGTATTTTCTACCAATACTTCATTTATGCATCTCTAAATGTATTTTCCAAATGAGCATATTAAGTAAGAGAGTAATTCTCATGACCAGTAACTTCCACCTGGGGAACACACGGCAAAGAAAACAGAAACAAACTAGAGGTATAACAGGAGGCATGCTCAAAATCTGCTGTGGTGTACATAAGTCAGGCTGTGACTTCTTGAACTTCAGGCATGCCACCTTTTTGAAAAGGAATTTCAAGAGCAAGTCATTTAATAAGTTCTCAAGTTGACAGTGTTCTTATGAAGCACCCACATTTTACAACAAAAAGCAGGTACCTAACATGTAGGTCAAGAAAAGGTAATTGTCTCCACAGGCTCTTGTGTAATGAACTTGGAAGTACCTGGTTTGTGGACAGAACAGAGTCTGTCTTCTTCATCAGTTACAACAGTCACTGTTCCAGTTGCTAAGTCTTCTTCTTCAGCATTTGGATCAACAATGAGCAGTGTGCTTGTGAAAAAAAGACATATGCAGAGGTGTGTGTGTTATCGCAAAATACACATAACATTAACTTGTACTGTAGTCTTTTACAAAATACCATTAGGTGGATTTAGTGCTCAGGGTTATCTGTTTTCTTACCAAAATGCACTGATTAAAAAAAAAACACCAAAAAATTTGGAAGATTCCACATATTCATATGCATGCATCTTGTAACACCAACTGCTGAAAGTACAGCTTTATGCCAAAGTTTCATAGATTTGTGACACCCAATTTTATGAAAATGCCATTAAACTGTCACTTGCAGTCACTTGTTTTGTGGTTATCAAAGACAGTGGTGTTGGGTTTAGGTGTAGGCTGCATTCATCTCTACCAGACCATAAGGCAAAATTAATTTGCAATGGTAAATTCACCAGAGTAGTTCTCAGTTTCTTGTTAGAAAACTTTTAACGGAAGACTAGGAACAGTCATAACTGCATTTACTGGGTTCCTTAAGGCAGCCAAAATAAGCTGTCACACATAACAGGATGCACACCACTGAGAGAGACTAAATATTGTTATTTTGAACCATTTAAGTTAAAAATAGGGCAAACCAATGGGGGGAGGGGGAAAGAGGATCTAATCTACAAGCCAACTTTGCAAAACAAAATCTTGAACTCAAAGCTGAAATTTAAAGCGTCACTAACAGTTTCACACTGCCATTTAATAGCAATGATGTAATGAAAACATAAGTCCTTCTCTGCCATACTCAGAAATATTGCTATATTGGTTCTATCCACATGCACTGTGCAGCATCAGGTATTTGCATGATGTGTAGAGGGACCTGGCACACATGGAGAGTCTGAAGCGTCAGGCTCATTATCTATGTACCGGTTGCTGCGCAGGGGCCAGTGCTGGAGCTGCACAGCACCCTGCACCAGCAATCCTCACCCATGGCCACATGTCCAGCAACCCAGGAGTTTCACTGATTCAAGGAAGGCTTTTATGCAGAAGAAAAATGTCTCCGGAAGCCAGACTATGTAAAACACATTCTGTAGAAGGCTGCGTCAACAGATGTACAAAAACTAATAAAACAGAATTTAAAAGAAACCCCAAACACCCAAACCACAAACCACAAGCACACATAAACACACTCACCCTCAATATTTAGCTTTAAGAGCTAAAGGGAGACTTGGGTAAGTTGTTTAATGCAACAGCTGGTTTCAGTGGAGGGACAAAGCCCAACAACAACTGAAAGCTTTCTTCCAAAGACAACATTTTTTTTTCTGTCGGCAAGTATGTGTGTGACTTGTGTGCAAATACTACCCTGCCAACAAGATCTGCCGGTGGTGCTAGCCAAACTCTCACTTCCAGTTTACATCACACTTCAGACCCACAAAAACTGGTATTAAAGCAATTAACAGAAGCACTCTAAAGTACTGATCACTTTCTGCTTTGATTCATTTTGGTAATCACTTGGTCAAAACATTTGAGTTCCGTGCTCCCTGCTCCCTATATGAATGAAAGAGCCTATTAATCATTTCTGCATATACAGATTAACGTGCTATAGGCACCCAAAGTCTCTAAACATACCTAAATCTTCAATCAGACTCGTAGCACAGTGAGCAGCATATCACTTGTCATTTTTTACTTTTCAAATGGATGTCACCACAAATCCCTGCATTTCTTGTAAATGACAGCAGAAAAAAAAACATCTGGACTAATGAAGAGCCAGTAAACAATTTCAGGTAAGGAGTCAAGTTATTAGATATGGTTATTTTGAAGTCTTATGATCAGATTCTTGATCTACATGAACAATGACTTGAAGAGTGTTGGTCAGACTTCATCTTGGGTAATTACATTTTCAGCTATCCAAAGGCTCTGCCGTTCTTACCAGACTATTACTTCCTCTGTTAACGAAGTCCTTGATAATATGTTGTTCAAGAACTACCATCTTGTATATCAGTTATTTATATAGGCTTTTAAAACATTAGTTCTTCCTTCTCAGATACCTCAAAAACATACTTATTCCTGTACTTTTAACTGTATCTTTTAGGTTGGGAACAAGTTCTGTGTTAAGGAAGAAGTTGGACAGACTTTGTCATACTGCATAATTGTTCATATTACTGAACTACAGGGCAGTTAACAAGAGAGGCTGTGAATTTCAGATAAAGTGAAACAGTACTGCCTGAGGCTGCATGCACTTCACTAGCAGAAGCGCATAAACATCAATAGCACCCTCTGTCTTTCACTTCTTTTCCATAGTGTTGTTCATAAGTACAAAACGATTATGAACTTACTCATCAAATATAGCAAATGATGTGGCAACCGGATGCTTTCTGATCATCAAAGGAGTCTTCTGTTTAAAATTAACTTCTGATAAACCAGTTTCTTCATTTATAGTAACTGATGGCAGTTGTACTGAAAAATGACAATGGTATAATATTAAAAATTGTTGGATTTAGTAGGTCTAAAGGTGTCCAAGACTACTGAAATATTTAAGTCTTTCTAAGCCACTGAAAATTGATCAGAGTTCTGGCTACAGTAATGGTGTTCTGTACAAAAAAAATAATTACTGAATATGAGGAAAGTATTTACCTTACAAATTATTTGATTTTTCTACTCAAGGTAACATTCTTCCTTGCACAGAAGTATCACTTGCTTCCAAAATGCCATACAACTACATTATTTTAGAGCCATATTTAACCAAAAGTATTTTTTCCAAAAAAAAGTCTGTTGGACTATAGTCTCATCATGAGGAATATAGCTTCATCTCATGAGTTACATGTATCTGTAGAATCAATGAATTTGATCTTCAGGTAAGTCCTGCTTTGAAAATGAGATCCATACAGTTCTGGGAGATGGAAATCAGGAGCAAAGCAGCTGTAAGAATTCAAAGGCAAGCAACTCACAGCTGGAAAAGGAGGCCTTGCTGAAAGCTCCCCTCTACTCTGCCTCCTATGTGCATTTATAAGCCACATACCTGTGAACAATCAATCCACACATTGCATGCATGAACACTTTTTTTTTCAAACTGTATCACATTAAGCTAGGAGTACTCTGTTGTTGAGAGAGTATTTGTGTAAGCAAAGCCCCCAACAGCATCTGCCTACGCAAAATACATTAATGAGGTAAGAACCTGTTCCAGACATTAAAGTTGTTTATGGTCACTGCTGGAAGATTCAGCTTTCTGACATGGAAGAACACAAGGCAGGGTAGCAGTCTTGCAAGAGAACAGCAATACACATACAAATGGCTCTTACTCCTCAGGTGTTGCACATCTATGGCATCCATACCATCATTTCCACCTGGGAGTTGCATTTTAATAATTTAGCATTCAAATGACAGGAACCAAGCAGTCTTAAGAAACTGTGACTCCACTACCTATTCACCCTGAGACAAAACTAACATTTCTCCAAGCAACGCTAATTCGAGTGTCTCTTTCTCTAGAGAAGACTTACCATTTTTTAATGCTGCTAACAAAGCGAAGGCACTGGCATCCAGAAGATTTCCATCATAGTCCATACATATAATATCACAGTATAGCACCCAAACAAGCTATCGAAAAAGGTTTGTACATGTGAGATGTTACAGCAGCTAAGCAAATGGTGCAAAATCTGAGAAAATGCTGGCCACATGACCAAAGCTACTTATTTCTATCATACAATTTTTACACTTCAGATGTAAGCCAAGCTATGAAAACTAAAAAGCAGCAACAACCCATAACTCCAAATACCTTAACATCTCAACACTGATCCCGTTAGTACATCTCTCTTCATTGTGAGGTACAACTTACCTTGCCATTTGCAATACATAGGTCTTCTTTCTCTATTATCTGTGAACTGAAATAAAACAAGAATGTAAACCAGGAAACAGAAAACTGTCTTGCTGAGTTCTTATGTTTCAAGAGAAACACTTCTTATGTTCTTACTTTTCAATCACATCTGCAATGAACTGGCTTGCTGCTTGAGCCTCTTCACCAGGTGGGCCGGAGCGAAACCTCGGTGAGCAGAGGGATGGCAGTTCTACATTTGGAACTAAGTAGCAAGAATCATTAGTCATAAGCTAAAGAAAGCAGGCAGTGGGATATCAAAACCAAGTAAGACTATACACACTCTTAATATCATTTTGTCTTCAAATTAAAGGCAATTTTTCAATCAAGTCTTCCTACTTCTCTCAAAAATAAAGTTAGGCATGAATTTGTATTAAAGAACTTGCAGTACTCTGTACTCAGAAACTATACAGTCCACAGAGAAGCACATACTCCTAACTGCCATCTTCTGTTTGCAATCCTGCTACGAATATGACCCCACACAAATTTTTCCTTGAGTGTTAAGCATTCTTAAACTGAGCAAGAAACAACAGCATTTTCACACTACTGCCTGACTTTACTGGTATGCCATGTGCTTTTCATCAACCATTAAAACCTGATGCTTTAGACTTGAAGCAAAACCAGGCGTAAACATTTATGAAAAAAATGAAAACACCTAAGCAGAATCAAGCTTACTGAAAATAACATACTTTAGAGATGCCTTATAAAAAGGGAATTTGTCTAAGCTCTCAGTTCCCACATAATAACTGCATTTCAAAAGAAACTCCAAACAGGCACCTGGGACTTTCACAGTTCTCCCACAAATAAAGAGGGTTTACATCACCTTGCATGCCACAATCTTTTATAGATGAACTGCCTTCCCCCTTCTAGAATACGTACTTCCTTCTGGCACAGGTCTCTTTTCAGACTGGCCTGGAATCAGCTGTGAGAAGGCAGCTGTAGATGGAAATTCCACAAGAAGAGCAGGGGGAATTCTGACATTTCTGAAGGACCACTGCTTATATATCAAGCTGGAAACTGACTTTAAGTAACACAATTTTACCCAAATTCATTCTTCTTTTAAGAGGCCTGAAAAACTTACCAATATATCCCTTATTAGCAGAATCTTCTGTGGGTGTAGCAAGTTCCTAGAGAAACAAACAAACAAAAGATAAAACCTAAGAGCTGGATTTTGTACAAAAGGTCTTCCAGCTATTCTATAAAGAAACGGTCATTTTCTTGCCAGTTACCAATACAATGAGATTTACAAGAGCCGCTTTTACAGTCCCTTTCTGTATTTTTCCTATGGGAAAACTCAATACAGGGATATGTCGTCATTTGTCTCACAGTTCATGGCAGTCCAGCAGTAAAATTGAAGCTACAAGACATTTAATAATCCACCCAACTAATTACCAATGCACTTATTGGTCAAGATTCAGTAACTGCTTAACTATAAAGCTTTTATCTAGAAATAAAAAAAGACTTAATTTTTGTATTTATCTTTCCCCATACACAATATACAGCACAAAAAGCACATTCTCACACTCTACAGGTGGGACTAGACAACTCCATGTCTGAAAGTAACTCAGGTGAAAGACCCTAATGGTGTCTGACTGACATATTATTGTAACTCTACAGGAGGTTCATTCTAAACATAAATGCACAAGTTCAGCTAACAGCTAAACTAAAACAAAAACCAACCGCTTTAACTCCACAAATCACTGTAGTATTTCCAAACTTCACCAGGGCAGAACCATCTGCAGTTGTAATTGAACCTGAAGAAAGAAAGCACTGTTAGATAACAATCTGTTTTCCAGTTCAGAGGGCCTTAATAAACACCCACCTTCACAAAGTGTTTACTTTCCATCACTTTATACTAAGCACAGCCTAAGCAAAGTCTCAATGAATCCAGGGTGGGAACAGAATCTATATTAAACAGTCAATCACACAGAAGGGTTGAGGCTGGAAGGGGCTGCTGGAGGTCACCTGGTCCAAGTGCTGTACTCGAGCAGGGCCACCTAGAGCTGGCTGCTCAGGAATGTATACAGATAGCTTTTGAATATCTCCAAGGATGGAGACTCCACAACTCTCAACAACCTGTGCCAGTGCTCAGTCACACTCACAGAAAAAGCATTTCCCCATATTCACAGGTAACATGTGTTTCAGTTTGTGCTCCTTGCCTCCTGTCCCACCACTGAGAACCACTGAATAGAGCCTGACTCCGTCTTCTTTACGTCCTCCCTTGAGGTATTTATACACATGGATAATATCCCTCTGTGCCTTCTCTTTTCTAGGCTGAATAGTCCCAGCTCCCTCAGGTTCTCTCCATAGGAGAAATGATGATCCAGTCCCTTCATTATCTTTGTGTAAGAATGGCAGGTAAGGTGCTGCCCTGTACCTTACTGCATAAGAAGTATCTAGCCTCTGCTCGAGACAGTTGTTTGTCAAGCTTAGAAAAAAGCAGAGGCCAAGAATCACTACCTCTTTTAGATGCTATCCAGTGCATCCATTTTGCACTGATCAGTATATGCCTAGATACTGCCTTCACCACCTGTATCACATGCTGCTGATCTCAGAAACAAGCTTCCATGACCACCAAAGATGTGCTGTGCACACCAGCCCAGAAGCAGGACTGAATAACAACACCCAAATCTATCACTGTATCATGCATTCTCTTTAATGCTTCTTAAATATCCTTCCTCTTTCTTGTTCCAAAATGCAGGAACCAACAAAACTCATCAGCAAGTCACGAAGGTCACTTCTATCATCTGATATTAGTAATACCTCCTCCATTATTATTATTACAAATAAACACTTGCCTATATTGACAGTGGTTGTCCGGAATTCACCCAACTCTCGTCCATCAGGGCGACAGTTCTCTTTCTAAACAAAAAATACAAAGTTCAAATTAAAAACCATTTTATTTAATAACACACCAGTAGTTTTTCTATAGGAGTTAATATAAAATAGAATTGTCTTTTTTAGCAGATACACTCAGCTACAAAGATGCTAGGGAGATCTTCATCACATTCTAGCCAATTTTCATCAACTGACGTGCAGTTTGTGCCTATATAAGCCTGCAAAAAAGGCTGTTTTTTAATTTATTGAGAAAATAAATACAACAATAGATTGATTGTCTCAAGGGTAAATTCTACAGGCTAGATTCAGGATATCGCTCAAGAACTGATGCTCACGGATACCTTAAAATGAGGGTTTCTGCCCATCTGCATTGTTCGGATTTTGTAGGCAATTCCTTCCCCCATCCACACCTAGTGCAGCTCTTAAAACTAATGTTAGGGTGAACTAAAGAAAAAAAACACACTAAAAACCAGCTTAACACCCCCCAAAAAAACCCCCAACATTCAAATACTGTCAGTCAGAAGCTGTACAATACCTGAACCTTATGTTAGAAGTTGCACCAATTCACCATCATGTTAGATATTAATTATTATTCATCACAATTTCAAGCTTCTCGAAAGAAAATACTTCTGGTTCAATTATGAGAACCAAAACTGACTGCTATAATACTGGACCAATTTCTAGGTAGATTAGTATTACCTTAGTAATGGATAGACTAACTTAATACAACAAGTCAGGGGGCTTCCTTCACAGCTGCGGTGGGCATGGTTAGCAGCAATAGTCTCTATTAATTTTTAGTCACAACATATAAGAGCCTGGTCTAACGTGATTTTGTGCTAGACACAAACCTGCACCACCATCTTGGTCAAATTTAACTTGCATTCCTTTCAAGGCCAACAGAAACATTTACTCATGAAGCTGAACAGGGACACAACCTGCTGACACAAAAATGCCACACATAGAGGGAAAAACACATTCTTAAGAGTAGGACCATTCCTCCCCTGCTCAGCGTGATTTCTGGCTTTCCCTTATAGTTTTAAGTTTCTATACAGAGAAATCAGAAAAGCAGAAGCAAGCAAGAAAAAAAATGATTACAAGCAATTTATACATGCATATAGTGTTCTACTCACCAAAAATCTTCTGTAATATTCCAATGGTTCCACTGTTCTAAAACAAACAGAAAGAGAAGCTCACATGCAAGCTCCCAAGTAATCAAGAACAAAAAAGATACACAAGCACTACCTACAACAAATAAGTTGAAAATCAAGATAATTCACAAAGCTGCTTAACAATATGTTTATAGAGATGAGAAAACTCTAACCTGATCTAAGATTTTTTCACTTCCAAGATGTTTGTATAAGGAACCTGCCTGCACAAATACCTTACAAAGAACTACTAGCTTTCACCTCAGTAATCTTGACTATTAGTTTTAATTCAAAAGGAGTGTTTATTGAGATAAAGATGTAGAATATTTTTGAAGAAATACAGGAAGAGTAATTTTTTTACAGCAACTGAAACGTCCATTAGTTCAAGGACTGCATTCAGATCTATGAAATGGTTTTAGTCTTGAAATGTTACGTTTTTTCTTAGAATCTAAGAAAATCTAGAATTGTGAAATATGCTTCATATTTGTACATGTTGTTGAGAAACAATTAATGTTTACCATTAATTATATACTACTAACAGCATTTATGTGTATTTTAAGCAGCAAACATTAAAGTAAAAAATAAAAAAAACTCATAAAAGCATTATCAGTATTTCAACAAAGCCTTCTCAGCTTTGTTAGAATAAGCAATTAAGAGGAAAAAAAAACCCACAACCAAAAACAACCCAAAAACCCAACAATTTATCCAAATGTAAACTAACATATAGAACTATCATAACTCCTAACAGCAACTATGATTTAACCCCTACAGGTTTCCCACATGTCCTGTACTACTGTTTTTTGTCCCAAACACATGGCCTGATCTCTTCCAGTTCACATAAAAGCACTTGCTAAACCCTCATTAACACATCTACGACACAAATCTGAAAGAAGCAAGGACACTGGATGCCCCATCCCTCGCTTTGTTCAAGGCCAAGTTGGACGGGGCTTGGAACAACCTGGCCTAGTGGAAGGAGTTCCTGCCCGTGGCAGGGCGCTGGAAGTGGATGAGCTTTAAGGTCCCTTTCAACCCAAACCTGTCTGTGATTTCAGGATCCACACCTCCCCCCCCCCCCCCGTCTCAAAGCGCAGCGAACAGCCAGGTGCCCGCGCACGGCCATGAAGCGCCAGACGCCCAGTGGGAAGCTCCAAGGGAGCCTCTGACACCCGCCTGCGACTCCGGGCGGTGGCCGGCTTCCATGGAGACACCACAGCAGCGGGAAACCGCACTGGAGTAAAAAATGGTAAGCGAGAACATACGCCCGAGCCCCCCTCCCCTCCCCTCCCCTCCAGCGCAGGCGCTGGGCTGCGGCGGGACGGGGGTGAAAGCCCAGACAGTCACCGAAGCAACACGATCCCAACCTTCAGGAAAGAGCCCGGCACCTACTTGAAAGCCTCCGCCATGACTGCACCGCTACCGCCCCGGAGGTGGTGCCACTTTGTGACCGGCCGGAAGTGCTTCCCGGCGGCATGTGGGCGGTGGTGACGGGCTCCTTCCGCTAGGGGGCGCCGCCGACCTCAGAGCGAGGCTGCGGCAGGGCGGCCGCTCTCGGCACCGACGCGGTGTTCGCTTCCGCATCGCTGTCTCTGTGCGGCAGGGCGGTGCCTGCGGCTCGGCGCCGGTTTCCTCAGCGGCGATGGAGCTCCCGCTGCCCCCGTCCCTGCCCGCAGCTGCAGCCGTGTTGGCGCTGGCGCTGCCGGGCCTAGCCGCCTTTCTCCTGGTGCTGGTGAGAACAGGGCCGCGGTCACCGCTGTGCCGGGAGGGCGCGGTACGTGGGGCCGCACTGCCGCCACAGCGGTGCGGGGCATGGGCGCTGCCAGCGCCGGGCCTGCCGGGGGGCTCTGCGGCCTGCAGCCGAACTGGAGCCCCGGGCTGGCCCGGGCTGGGCGACAGACCCCGGTTTGCGCAGCCGCTGGCGGGGCTGTGCTGGTGTGTGGTGTTCTGTGGGGAGAGTGTTTTCGCAAGGCGTTGGGTGAAACGCCTCGAAAACGAGCTAAAAGTGGAGCGTTTCATTCTGACAGCGCGCCTTCTAAAATATCCCCTTAACGCGCTTACACAGTGACCACTAGCTGGGGAGTCCTGTACGCTTCCGAGTGACTGAAATACCGTACGACTGGGAGAAGTTTGACACGTGGAGAGTGATGCTCCACTGCTCGCCAACAGTACCGTGTGTACGATGTTCCGAAGTACTCCTACTCCCAAAGACCGAGTTCTACAGGTTTATTTTAGCTAGGCATAAAGTTGACCGGAGCCTCAGTTTTGCAAGCACTTGTCCCGAGTAGTGCCATTGATTTTGGTGGCTTTGTGCAGGATCAGAGGCAGTGCCAGCTTGTGTGGTAGAGATTACTCAGGGAAGGGGCAGCAGGGCTTGGGTCGCCACTTTAGAAATATCTCCATGCTTTGCAGTTAAAAACAGTAACAAGCCAATGATGCTGGCAGTTGTCAGAGTGGGTGAAACGGTGCCATCAAATGGCCTGAGAAGGTTTTGTTCTTGTGTGATTTGGTCAGTGGATGAAGGACTGCACCGTTGACCCACCTCATTACTGGAGTATAGTTGGTTGCCCCTTGCAGCACATTCAACAGTTAGGTAAACTTTTAGTAGAATGCTCAATTATTTTTTCTCATTTCTTTTTGTCTTGCATGACAGATTTCTATGGTTGCTCATATAACTGCCAGAAAAATGCCAACCTTTCACCGACATGAAAAAGAGAAATTCTTCACAAATGCTGAAGGCAGGAAAGAATCTGTGCCAAGTATACATGATCCCCCTACCAAGGAGCTTTCTGTTGTTGTGCCTTCATACAACGAGGAAGACCGGTGTAAGATTTTTCTTGTTTTGTGAAAAGGAAGAAAATCTATCTGTTGTTGCTTTAATAACGCAGAGGTCAGTTTATGTTAGCAGTAGCTTCTGGCAGGCTAGGTTATGATCTGATTTGGACAGTTTCTAGAAAACAGTCTAAGTACATTGAATCTCAAAATTAAGACACTGTGTAACTTGATTTCTGCTGGTAAAAATAGCATGGGGATTTGTAAGGAGCCTCTTTATTCTAATGAAGTCCAGCAGAATGGCTGCTCATTGCCTATGTAAATGCTGTAAGGCTAGAAATAGAAAAAGACTTTTTAAAAGCGGTTTGAGAGCTTTCCATTCTGTGCACAACAGCTGCAGCTCAGACGAGCAGGAGAAAAGGATGATCTCACAGGTCTCTGACTTGCCCATATATGTGAGTGTCTGATACTAAAAAGCAAAAGCTTTCAGATGGAATAGAAATAATCAAGCTTTAAAGCTTGACATGGGGTTTATGTGGCAGGATATGCTGTCATTCATTTTCTTGGTGAGTGAAAATACTGAGCTGCTTGGGATCCCGCGAAGAGAGATGTTATGAAGTGTATCTGGACACAAGGTAGGCCTGGCCCTTTCTCAAGTCTAATGCATTCCTCAGTTCTGGTTCTTGTACACCTGTTTTCAGTAAGCAGGGTCTTAATGTGATTTTCATTTGGTTGTCCCTTTCTTTGGTGATGGAATAATAACCTGAAATGTGCTCAGGAATGAACCTGCAGTGCAACAGCAACTGTAAGGTTGAATGCCTTTCTGAACTGCAAATGCATCAGCTGCAAAAGTAGTGGCTATTCCTTGGCTGAAGCATCAGGGCCAGCAGCCTTAGTAAGAGAAAGCATGTTATTGGCTAATGTTAGGAATTTTTGTTGTTGGTTAAATAGATAAACTCAGTGCTGATTCGTAGGATGTTTTGGGCAATGATTATTTTTGTTCCTTTAGTATTGTGTAGATACATATTTCAAAATGTAAAGCTTGTTCTTCAGAAGAAATCTTTTTATCATGTCTTACATGTGTGATTCTCTTCAGTGTTCTTTTTGCATTAAGATAGGAGGAGACTTAAGAGTTGCAGGTGCTAAGATTGTTTACTGAAGGTAGTGTTTTATGCAAGAGGGCATTTGCTCAGCTTTGCTCTGTGGTTATTTTCAGCTTGCTTTTGCAGGTGCTTTTGGTGCTTTGCCTGTTATGATTTACTAACCTTACCTCCTCCACCTTTTCTCTAGTACCTCTTATGATGGATGAAGCCTTGGATTATCTAGAAAAAAGACAGGTATTTTCATTTTGCATTCAAAGTTTATCATTTTTATGTGCATCGTATAATATGTCAGTGATCTATTCACATTGTTATTTTGGTGTACATTAAAACACTATTATTTAGCTGCTTAGAAACAATGTTTCTGACTCTTATCAGTTGTTTTTAAATTGAATGCTGGTAAGTTTTTGAATTAAGTAAAAATTTAATATACTACTACATGATGAAAAGTCTTTGTATTCATGATATCTCTCCAAGATAGAAATTAAGTTTTAACCATACAGTTAGCTTCCTAACCTAAATACTGGTTTGTTCCAACAAGTTTCTTAAGCATTTGTTCTCGGGTAAGAAGCCCATCCTGAAAGTCTGAGGATTTTGTTTTGTCTGGGTTTTCTTAACATTGCTGCTGTTACGAGCTTTTAAAATTGATTTTTTAGTTGTAGATCATAGTTGAAGAAAACTGTGAAAGGCTGATGTAATGGATCACACGTCAAATATGGCAAAAGTCTTTAATCATGCCATCTTAACAAATTTACATTATTGTATTAGTGTCTGTTGGCAACCATGAATGAGTTAAAAACGGATAGGGAGAGAATAATGCTGATGTTTGAAAGACCTACTGCCTACTTCAGGAGTTGGATGAAATGCATTATTTCTGGTTTTATTTTTAAGAAACGAGATCCTTCATTCACGTATGAAGTAATAGTGGTGGATGATGGTAGTAAAGATGAAACTACAAAGGTAAGGAAAAGAAGTGTCTCACCAATCAGAGGTGTGGATTTCTGTACCTATTTGTGGAATATAGCAATGTTTTGCATTTATATTTTATTACTTGTAGTAGTTACCAATTAAAATTCATGTTTCTGAATACTTTGTCATTGTCTTGTATGCATTGTGGATGTCACATACACACATTCATACATATATAATTATTTTGCAAATACTACTATTCTTGTTTGGCATCTGCGATAGGCATTTCCTGCAGCTGAGATTCTAAAAATTCTTATCTTCAGGAAATTTCTTATAAAATATTCTAAACGTGCACAGTGATGTGAATGTAAACTTGAGGAAGCTAAAAAGCCTTTTTAAATCACTATTCCGTACTGTGACAGAACAGCTGGAATGTTGTATTGCTCTTTCTCATACCCTTCGTGGCACTGTTCTTTTAAAAATCCCCATGCCACTGGTAGGGTTTTCAAAACAGTTCTGCATTCTTCTGCTAGTTTGATGTATGTCACTGGAAAAAATGGCTGGCCAACTTGAGGGGTTTTTTTACTACTGCTTAGATGTTTTAGCTGCTGAAATGAACGCTGCTTTCTCTTTTACTTTCCTTAAGCTTGTCCACTAATGATTACTTATATATATATTTTTGACTGCTTTGCGTTCTTTCTGAATTAACTGAGAACACTGCAGCCATAGGCTTCTGGACTTACAAGGACTTGAGATAATCTTTAGAAAATAACAGAAGAAAACTTACGCTTTCTCTTCTCCACGACATGGAACAAAATGTACACATTCCTGCAGTGTGAATGGGATTTTAGGTCGCTCTGAATTTTTGTTTAAAACCACAGATAGCAGCAAGACAAGTGAAAAATAAGTAGCAGTGGTAGAAAATTATTTTTCTTTTATTAACTATTGGTGTTGGTATAAAAGGTCTGTAATAGTATGATATAAACTATATTAGTATTGAGGTTTTTAGACTTGGGTGAATGGGGTTTAGAATTACTTGGGGTGATACCCTGTTCTTACTGAACATGATTAGTTTCTTCACTCCTGTTGTGTTGAATCTGAACCGGTTTTTATTTTCCCAAACAGACTCCAGCAAACACTGGCAATGTATTTGCCTGAAATGGTTATAGCTCCATGATGTTTTTTTAAAAAGGGTGAGCAGATGTAAACTTCTGTCTTGACTTCTGTTTTTGTTTTATGCTGGTTTCTGTTTGTCTTATCAGGTTGCAATGAAGTACTGCAAGAAACACGGAAGCGACAAAGTGCGAGTGCTTACTTTGGTAAAAAATCGAGGGAAAGGAGGAGCAGTCAGGATGGTAATTGGTGCTTTCATCTCCTTCTCGTTGTCTGAACTACCTGTGCCCAAATATGCATCAGCTAGAGCTGTGCTGATAGATGTTTTGAACTCCATGCATTAACAAAGTTATTATCAGAAAACTGAGTATGGGTTCTATAAATGAAGGCAAAAGCTTTTTAAAATAACCTCATTTTAGATCTTGGAAACAGTATTTTCTTGACAGGAAGATCGATAACGGATTTATTTTTTTTTTTTTTTTACATGACAGTTCAAAAGGAGGAAAAAAAAAAAAGATTTGAATTTTACACTTCTGCTAGTTCCACTTAGAAATAGGCTTGCCTTTAAAAAAAGTGACCAAACAAGTAACCTTTTACATATTAAAGTTTTAGTAGAAA